TCGGTTAAAAATGTGTTATTGGGGATGCAGAACGGCTGTGTTTTGATGACATTTTAGTCATGGTATTTAAATTTCTAAAGGTTCTTTACTGGTAGATGTCTTTAATTAGGCGTAGTTAGGATGTGTTCGGGTGGTTTGAGTCTCAGGATAGCTGTGTTTGTCTTTCTGGTTCCTAAAGCCAGTGTGCTAAAACTAATGAATATTTCATACGTGCCTTGCTAAGGTCTTAGTTCTGCTCCATGTGTCAGTCATGGCCATGTCTGTGAACCTCTCACCCCCACCCTTAGACACCCAAATGTTCACTTACCACTGCATAAATGGCACTTTTAATACCTCGCAGGCAGACGGTAAGCTCATGACGCAGCCTCTAATGGAGCCATTTATGCTTCTGCCTGAGGGCAACCAGAACAACCATGAGAAAAAGAAGGGGGAGTAGCAGGACAAGGGGACATGTTCCCACCCATCTTTCCCTAATTTTTTTTTTTTTTAGCTAGCTTAGTATGCATCATGGGCTAATTGGTAATTTTGTTAAAGCTGCCATCACATCTGTCAGTGCTTGTATTTAGGCTTGTTACAATACCCTGTTACTATTAGTTTGCATTGCTGTTTTTGCTGATTCCACCTCAGCAGTGTTGGTGTGAAGTAGAGAAAAGTGAGAGTGAAGCTGAAAAAATATGCTTTGTGTTTGTTGACAGCCGATAAAATTCAGCTTTTTGTTTGTGCAGTTATCATGAAAATGGGATTTCCGAGTAGACATTTTCCACACTGATGTTGGTTATATATTACTTATGACCAATCTGTTTGTTTTTCAGACTTGATACTGATCTTGATTACTGTGAATCAAAGAGACTGACAACCACTACTGGAACCAATGCACATTGGCAGTAAAAATAAAAATGTTGGTGTTAAAATTGAGAATAACACAATCTCCAAAACTTGATTTGGATGCTTTTGTTTATTGATGTTTTACGAATGTTTCAGTCGAGGTAACTTTTTAACATTTGGCCTTTAGTGTTAATAGGTTATTGTGTCATGCAACAGTCAGATAGGACTGTGGGTGCAACGTTGCCTCAGACACGACAGTGGTGGCTGTAGATGAAGGGAGACAGCTACATCAGAGCCAAAGGAGCAGTTTTTTTTAAAATAATGAAGTAATGTTTTCAGGAATTGTCTCAAAAAAAACAAAGCTGTCGATAATTGGAAAAACGCAGAATATTAATCTGATAATTGGTTGACTGTTCTGTGGTATCGTTTTTAGGTTAGCAGAGACAAAATCTGCAAAATCGGAACAAAAACCAGACATGCAAACGTCACCACATATCAGGAAATTGGCTTCTTTCGCAGGGCCTAGCTGTTAATTTAGAAGGCAGCCATAGATTACCCTGAAAACAATAACAAATAATGTTGTAAGATATAGGCCTTAGTGAGCAGTAAAAGGGATAGAACAGTAAGTAAACAGAGAAGAACAGCGCATGTAACTGCAGGAGAAGACGAGACAAACTGTTCGATCTCAGTCGATTTTACAGGAAACAAAGGAGAGCGTACTAACGTCACGTGATGCTTTAATGCCATCACTCCGATTTCTGTTAACCACAATCAGTTATAGTACTTCTTGTTAGCGAAGTAACCTGGTTATAAATGATAGCTTCTCTGCAATCACATGCTGTTTATATCTATACCTTTATATTGTTTAATGTATATCAGCTCCAAATATTGGCAGTTGGTCTTTTTTGATTACCGATAATCGGTATGAATATCGGCACTTTGTGTTCATCTTCAGTATTTTCTTAGTAACAGATGAAAAAATAAAACATGAGCCTTCTCAGTACAGATCCATGTTCCCTAATCCCTATGTAGATTTATTTATGGAAAAAAATTGTACCGTTGAATTTTTTCCAACTCAAGCTACTGGATACAATGAAATGATGTGTCCTGTTAAGCCCACAATACACAGTGCTGAGAAGTTCTAATTGTCACATGGGGATCTGTGCTATACCACGATAGTGAGGTAATGCAAAATTAAAACAACGTACTTTTCTCTATATCAGTTTCATATTTGTGTGTCCTTTCTGTGTGATTTCCCTTGCTAGCACATGTTCTCCAGAACAGAGGGAATACCAAATCGTTGCAAGCAGTAGGTGTAACTCTTAGTTGGACAGAGACAACAGCTCTCAATTCAGCCAGTAGTAATTAATTTTTTATGCTTGATGGTTTGGACTTGGCATAGACTTGCTAACTGGAATGTAAACAAAGCTGTTGTGGTTTGCATGCTGTGTAGTTGACACATTTATGTGTGATTGTGAGCACTACATGATTCACTGAAGCTTGATTTGTGTAAAATGCCTAAACTTTCATTTTGGTTACGTTTTATCAAGTGGCATTGACTAATTCTTTGTGCATCTACAGTCAAAGTTATTATTTATTCAATAAAATTCCAAGTAAATGACTAAATATGTTGTTTAATCCAAACAGCCACGTCTTTTCCCTTGACCCATCCGTCCAACATTTTGCGTTAAAAGGGCATACCTACAGGAAATCCAAAGTATTGTCGAGTGGGTTTCTTGCTCCTCTTGCTTCCACTGAACAGTAAATGAAAGACTGCCAGCAGTCATGTTGCACCTGTCCCTCTAAGGCCAGACACATGGCCTTAGGGCAGGATGACAGACATTCCCAGTCAGAACCGCTGCTGGGGCTGCTTTTGTGAGTATTTATAGCTACCACCTCCGAAACAGGAGTCACAGAGGATATATGAGGAATAGCAGAGAGCAGTATGGTGGTCATTCGGCTAAGGAATGAGGGGTAATTGAATGAAAGAAAAGAAGTGAAAAAGTAAAAAAAAAGACGACTGCATGAAGAGAGCAGTAGTCGTACTCCATGTCTCCCCCTTCCCCCATGGTTGGGCTTCCCCTGGCTGCATGTGGCGATACCTAACCAAAACATTGCTTTGCATTTTTGGTCACCAGCCAAAGAGCTTAAGGGCAAGGTTGCAGTGTGTGTGGGTCCCCATTCAGAAATGAAGGCTGGGCCAGAGGCCTGAGCGCATGTGGTTGAAGTGAATACTGCTGATCTGTGGGCATCCATGTGGCTGTTGGTTAGACAGGATGAGCTTGAGAGGAGTGAGGGAGGCAAAGACGGATGGTCCCTTCAGCCTAAAACAAGCTTCCTCCACATGGAGCACCTGCATGCCTGATGCAAGGGACAGACAGCGAGTTAGCGCTTGCAGATCTGTGCAGTAAGGCTGTGTTTACTCAGGGAAGTGCGAAGGCCAAGTGGCCTCATTAAAGGCAGGATCCTGACTGAATCTCAATGAAGACATCCAGTCGCAGCAGACGGGAGATGACTGCTCCAGTCTGTCCTCTCCGATCTGGTAGCATTAAGACCAAGACCCTGTTTGTCATATATTAGGTGATAACTTTAATTCCGTTTTAGATAAAGTGACATCCCACATCTCTCACCATTTTTTGTTGGAAATGGAAGCCTTTATACTGATCATAGCCTTAACTCACTTCTTTTATTTAGTAAGTAAAAATTAACCGTTTTGGCTTCGTCCAAGATTAACAAATCACTCCCCCACATGCTTTTGAAACATCAAGTTAGATGTGTAAGATTTAAGTCAATTGTTCTACCCTTCTCAAGTCATAGCAGGAATAGTTTAACCACCTCAAGGTTTCATATTGTGAAAATGTGTCTCAGTCAGAGTTTTACCCAGTTTCTACATTGATGCTAGCCAATAGTTGTCAAGCAAAACAACCCCTTGCTGTTTGCTTCCTCCGAGCTGAGCGATGCTGAATTAAGCAGCTGCCTCGCAGTCCGCCCATTTTTATTTCTATTTATCTGTAGCTGTTTCTGCTGACTCTAAAATGCCTCAGCCCCGAGCAAAACACGCCAGATGTTCTGTCTTTGGCTTCAAGAGCAAACAAAAGTGACTAATTGAAAACCCAGTGGAGTGATTTTATTTTGATGGTAATGTCCCCATAACATTAGGAAAACCCTTGCTCAGCTAACGTGGCTAGCATTACCGCTATCTTTTAATTTTGAAGTTATATTGTGGATTGCTATTGTTGTTATGGCGATTGTTATGGGTTCAATTCATTACTGTTGCGGTTGGGTTACTGATACTCATTTGTAGGTATTTTGACCATTTTAAAGATTAAAACCAACCAAATAGCAAAACAAAGAGCTGTAGGTGATGGGTGTTTTTGTTGAATCTGATGTACCTGTTACATCATGAAGGTGAACACTGACACCCAACATCATTTATTCTGACTTTGTTATGATTTTGAAAACTGCTTGTGCTCTCCGTACCATAACAGTTGCTTGATGCACAACAAATGCCAACAGCAACACCCCCCAAGAGAAGAAATATAATTTTTTTTTTGTCCTACTAATTGATTAGTCCAGTGAGGTAATTTTCTTGGTCAAGGACAACCCTAATTCACGCATACCTCCTGATCTTTTCTCACTGTCTTAATCACTTCATCTCAAACAAATCGTGGCTCCCTAGGCTCTCAGCATTATGCTCACACCTCTGGATGGTGTGACACAAATATTCCTCCACCGCCCAGCAAGAACCCTGAGTGCTGCTGGATTCTCTCAGTTGTCACACTGTGTTTGTCAGCCAGTAGCGATGCTCTTATTATCACGCTGCGTGCGTGTTGTTTCTGTCTTGTGCTGCAGGGACGAGACCACAGTACAGCAGCAGTTAGCATGTTGGCTCATTACCGTCTCATAATTGTGTGTTGTTAACATTTGGACTGAGAAGAAGTGTCAGCTGAGGAGTAAGAGGATATTTTTTGATTTTTAACACGTACTATCTCATGTGTTGAATTGTGGGATGAGATGCCAGTGGTACATTAAAAAGTAAATATTTCTGTTTGATGAATAATAGTTCAGTGAATAGGTTTTACTGTCACACATTGTTGAAGTACTCATATGTGGCCTTTTTAGACTGACCCAATGCCAAATTAACTTTATTTTTTTCTCTTCTTTTATTCTCATAGATCTGGGATCACTGTCCTGGGACGATTTGGAGAATGACCTTCCAGATGAGCTGATCCCTAATGGTGGAGATCTGAGTCTGATGGGTGGGATGCCTTCAAACGGTGGAGCAGCCCCTGGAGCTGGTGGGCCAGGTGGCACCCCGGCAGGCCTTGGTGGTGGGGGTGCCCCTGTTGTCCCGGATGCAGCCGCCAAGCACAAGCAGCTCTCAGAGCTCCTTAGAGCTGGTAGCACCTCCAGTATCACAGGCACAGGGCTTAACTCAGCTAGCCCTCAGCCAGGCGGCATGGGGCCACAGCTGGGAACACCGCTGGGTAAGAGCCCCCTTGGCCAGGGCTCCCCCAACAACCACCCGTCCCCCCAGGCCCAAAAAGCAGGAACACCAACTGGAGTAGCAGGACAGAACAACAACAATAATACTGCAGCTATGGGCTTGAACACGACGGGGTTTAACCAGGCCATGATTAACAATAGCCAGGGCCATGCTGGCCTCCTAGCCCAGGGAGGGCAACCTCAACCCGGGCAGGTGATGAATGGTGGTCTGGTGCCTGGAGCTGGTAGAGGACGGGGAGCAGGGGTAGCAGGCATGCAGTACCAGGGACCGACCATGCAGGGGACTGCACCAGGACCAGGAGGATCGGGGAGTGCGTTGGCAGAGACGCTCACCCAGGGAGGGCAGCAGATGGGAGCTCACACCACCCTCAACGCAGCTCAGCAAGCAGGCAACATGAACAAGGTGAGTCACACCTGTATTTTCATTGTGATTCTTTTACGGGTAGTGTTTGTGCATTTAAAGCCAACAGTGTATTGAAGCGCACAAGGAATATGTCTCAGGAAGTGATTTGTCATTGGCATAGAATTATCAATTTGTCATTCACAGTTTTAGTGGATTGGGTCGTGGGTGGAAACTATTTTAGTAGTGAGCACAAACAAATGTGATTCATTTGAAAGCATGCAGACTCCTGACAGAAAAGCTTAATAAGCTTGTTGATGAGGTGTTTTGCGTCTTGGCACTTTGGGGCCTCGTTCTTGCTGTGGTGCTTGTTAAATCAGGCTAACATTTTAGCCTGTCAAGAGAATTTTGTTCATTTGGCAAGCTTTGACTTCTACTTAATGAGGCTTAATTTATCAATCCTGGATGACATTCCTTTAGTGCACACTTTTATTTGGATTAAAAGCAGCATTACTGGACAATAAAAAAACAGAGTCTGCTCCCACATGATCAGCTGGCATGGCCTCATAACAACAGAGGTGCTTTTTTTTTTTTTTTTTTTACTACTTCAGTGACACAGCACAGGTTAAATTTACCCCATGGAGTTTTTATTGTAAACAAACATGGTTTTGTTTCTCACCAAAACAACATGACCTATGTTTAAAGGGACACAAAACAGCCATGTTGAATGCTTCTCTTACCTCATAAAACAGTTTCAAAGGCTGCTTCTTTTTAAACTGGTGTTGTTTACACAGTCTTGCCCTCCTTTTCTTGACTTTTATTGGCACATTGCAGCCTTTAGGCCGCATTGCCACAGTACGCTTCTTCTCTTCTATGGGTACAAAAGTGTATCTCATCATCCTTGTGCAATGCGAACAGTATAGAGGTACCCTCTCATCACACATTACTCTACAATACATTCACCATCAAAATATCCATAGGGCACCCCTTTTTTGTATTGATTTTTGCTTGTTTTCCTAGTTCTTTTATTTTCTCCAATTTGCTATGAGCAGAGAATGGGTTCCCTGTATCAACTCTACATTTTTGAGTTTAGGAATTGTAGAGATTTGCTCTGCCTCTTACAATAGCTCCAAACTAATGACAAATCCAGATTCATGTTGAAATAATAACAATCTACCAGGTACCGTTGGTTACTCTGGTTACAAGTGGAGATATGGTTTGCATGCAGTGGCTTATTTTGAAGTACATTTGTAAGTGTGACATAATTGCTTGTGCTTATCTTTATGTAGCTCTTAATTGGCCGGTTAATGAAAGTGGAGTTGCTCTATGACTGGCTGTAACACTACTCACAATTGGTCTTGAATGACTTTGTACATTCACTGCATGATATATTGATTTGCAACTGAATTTAAGCCTTATACACTGCAAATAGCCTTTTTGGCATATGTGTGGTGGTTGCATCCGTATCTATACACTCCACTGGTTGGTCTGTTGGTTTATCTACACAGTCCTTTCTCCCTCTCCACTCATTTACAGTGTCATCACCACACAGAAAATAGATATACACTTAACACTTGGCACCTCCACACTCACTCGAGAGCTCAGTCATTGTTAAGATTAGTCTTGGGACCCGAAATTATATGTGTGTGAGAGTTCATAGTGTCATTGACTGCTACTCTGGAGCTTGCCGCCACTGTGGTTTCACAGGAAATCAGTAGGAAGCCATCTATTTTACTGGCTGTGTGTCAGCGCCAAGACACTAAAGCTGTACGTAACCACAACACACAGACAGATGCCCCAAGCCACTGAGCAGAGATAGCGAATGAGTGTTTTGAGATTCATTTTCAGATAGACTCTGTTGACATGCTTTAACCACAGGAAAGATTAAAAGCTGACGCAGAAGTATCGGCGAGGGGACTGTCAGCCTTTTAAAGAAAAGGCCCATTTGAGTGTGTGTGTGTGTGTGTGTACGTGTGTGTTAGGCTCAGCTGGTGTTGGGTGATTGTCGTGTCACCAACTGCTATAGAGAAAAAAAAATCCCACTAGATCCAGACTTTGTGTGTGGCTTCTTCTATTGTGCTTTAATCACAGGTTGTAAATCTCTTTCTGGGCATTAGTGTTGGTGAGAGGCTACTGTCCCTCCTTCCCGCCACATGCTGCTTTTGTTATTGTGTACGGGCGAACACTCCCCTTGCTTTCTTTCACTTATTGGGTGGCTGCTTACCCCGTCAGTGAAGAAGAGAAAGACAGGTATTGTAAACCACTTAATCAGTTAAAATGACAGAGGGGAGTGCACTTAGGATGAAGGAGGGAGGCCAACTCAGCTGAACAGTCTAGCCTGGCAGCGGAGCGGCGAGATGATAGTTGGCAACTGTCCTGCCTGCCGATGTGTGGAGTGTGTCATAGGGTGGGGAGGGGGGGGAAGGACTGAATGGGAAGAGTGAAACGGAGGGGGTATGTGTTTGTGTGTGTGACTGCGTATGTCCGCCTGCTCAGCTGTGTTGAAAGACTGCCAGTGTCTGGTCGTCTCAGCTGGGTCTTTTTTATCTGGTCTGTTGGAGCAGTGTCAACAGCCTGAGGGGATACAGCCTGGTCTGGCATGGCAGTCTCTGGTCTGGTCTTCCAGCAGCTCCGTGGATGAGAGAGCAGCGGCAAGTTAATCAGTGTGTAAAGCAAGGCACTAACAAGGATTTTTTTCCCCCCCCTGGTGCCACACATCTTAATGTATGCACTCGTGGTTCTTGAGGGTTGGCAATATGGATAAACTCTTTATCACAATTTCATGCTGTGATTTGGATATGCACTCTGCTTCCAGTTCATTAGGTACATCTGGTAATGCAGTCAAATATAAACCCAACTATCATGAACCTTCATGAAGCTACATTACATTTACAATCCATCATCAATTATTCATTAAATAAATAATATGTTATAATAGTTTTAACCACTGACACTTAATATTCACTGCAAAATTAGTTTGGTTATTTTAGGGATGTTGAAGTACAGGTAGAGTAAACATGAGGTTACTGAATAATAGATTAAATAGCAAAAAAATGGTTCATTTGAAATTGTTATTCAACAATTGGCCTGCAGAATGCAATGAGTTAAACATAGCAAATGAGCTGCAGTCTTCCAATGTAAATAAGCTTTAACTAACTTTAACGAAGAAGTCTATTACATGAACATGTTTTTTAGTCATTATCAATCGTTTGCCTATTTTTATTAAAGGTCAGGAAAAAAGCTATTGAGTATTTAATCACTTTAGCCTCTTTGTAAAGGTACATTGGGAATAATTTTAAAGTTGAAACACGAATGAAAAACACGCTTTAAAAAAATGCAAGCATACTTTTTAAAAAATACATCTGGGTAAAGGAATGATCTTACCTTCATACATGTTAAATAAGAAAAGTAAGTAGAGGCATGCTACAGAGGGCACCTAAGGCCAAGATGCCGCCACACTGTGTACAAGTTAAGCTTTGTAGTGGCTAGCCAGTCCTAGTTATCACCGGATGGAGACCCAGCACTGTCCTCCATGTGCACCCTGACATCAAGGGCTCCTCGTCATCTGTAAGCGTAGGCTGCTGGGAGTGTGTCGTTTAGGTGAAGGTTGTGGGAGTCGCTGGCTTGTGGCTGTTTTTAGACTGCAAAGCCCATCTTGCAAGGGCAAAAGCCAGTTCTCACCAGCTGTAGGTTCCACCAGGGGAGTTCTGCAGGTGTCGACAGGGGTGAGGAGAAGCCCAGGTGGCCTTGAATCAGTGTGTTTTAAGAGACCTGCATGGCAATCTTGAGAGAGGGACGCTGGGTGAAAGGGCACCATTATAAAGGGATCTGATGAGCGGCTATGAGCGAGGGAGGGAGCATGCTTGCGGTTTGTTTTATGGAGCTGAACTTTGCATCTTTGTTTTTTATAGTGGTTTTCATCTAATGCATTTTGGTGAATGCTGTTAATGTCTTCACAACAGACTTGAGTTATAATGGCTTAATATTTAAGTATTTGTCATACCTAATGACGGAGTGACCGTTGACTGTAGGTAATGTTGTTCTAGCCACCAATACTGCTGCGCCAACTTAATCAGTGTAGGAAATCTGAGTATTTAATTCCACCTCTAAAACGTATTTATGCTCATCATTTTAGTTCAGTGCTAACATGAGTCTCAGGTAGCTAGCTAAACTGACTAGGTGCCAGACAGTGGCAGCTTTAGGGCTTTAACACCCTACTTTCTGTTAAAAATGCCAAAGCCTTAATCGCTGAGCCACCACTACCCATCAAATTTAGCAGTTTTGAGCAGTTTGAGGGCAGGGAGGTGTGCTGGTTTTATGACCCGAATCCTTTCGACCAGTCAGCAAACACGACTACATTTTTTGAACAGTAGGAGGCTGCAGCTGGCGGCGCAATGTACTGCAGAAAATCCACACTACATTTTCTCACAGTTGAGCTGCTTATCCCTTGCTTGTGCCTTGTCTGTTAATATATATTTATCAGTGAAGTTGCTATCAACAGTTAGTTGATTTATAATTGATCATTAACATCCTTATTTAGAAGTGTAGGATTTTTATGCTCTTAATTTGTATTACGCTATTCTGATAGGTGTTTCTATTTTGTCCACTCCATTTGGGTAGACTAAATAGCAGAAACACACTTCTCTTTAGGATCATATCTTCATGATAGTCTAGCAGTGAAAATATGAAAATTTGTCTTTTCATATAAATGATCCACTTTTGGGAGAATATCTGTGTACAGGAAGTTTTCGCTAATGGGCTGTAATTACCTTAAAAACATCACGATTTCTTCTACAACACAACAGAATCTTGAGAATACAACTGGGTACAACTTATGGTTAATTGTGTGACTAATTAAAGTGGCTCATTAAAGAAGCATAGAGCAGCCAACACAAAAGAGCATTTTACTGGTAGCTCCCTAGCCAACCTGCTGCAATGTTAGTAATGCGTTTAATTGCATTGTGTCTAACAGATTCAGTGGTTGCAAACTCTAGTACTAGCTTCAATGGGGAAGGAGGAGGAGAAAAGGTTGGAAATGATTCTGTAGTCAAGAGGTAGAGAAGTCTTCTCTGCCAATAGCTGGTGTCATGCTGAGCTGTCACTGTGCCAGAGCATCACTGGACTGGTTTCGGCAGCCACAATTATCCTGGCGCAGCTACAATAGTGCTTGTCTTGGCAGAGGAGGACTTGTAATGACAAATTGGCATTGAGATGGAGGGAGAACCTTTGTTGGCACATCGGTACTGTAAATGACTGGTGGGACAGTGAATCCCTCAGGTGAACTTTTAAGCATATCAAATCAGTATTTTAAACACATGAATACTTTGATCAGACTAAATACGGCCCTGCAGGTTTCAAGAAGTGGCTTGTTTTGTTAGTCTATGGAACTAACACTGCTCACGCTGATAAATTATTATATTAACTTTTATGTGTCTGTATTTCCAGATGGGCCTGGGTAGCAATGGCAGTCCGTTTGGGGCTCAGCCCTACGGTCAGGGTGCCGCAGGACCGGGCCAGCAACTAAACCCTCAGCAGCAGCTCCAGAACAAGGCTGCCCTTGCCAACAGCCTGCCGCCCTTCCCCAATGAGCTCAAAGGGGCCGCTGTTACTAGCGTGCCAAACATGGTCAGTACTTTTTGCACACAATCAAACATTACCATTCACATAATAACAGAGCGTATTTCTCTACATTGTTTGATGTAGCAATACCCTCGTAGAGCTACAAACAGTGTATGTACAATACTATCTGAGTTTATTTTTTAAGTTACCAACTAATTTTGAAATCTAAAGTGATCCACCGCTTTATAGTTGTAGTGAAAAGCCATATGTTTGAGGGCTGAAATATTAATGTTTTTAATAAATGTTGTAATGGTTATTAATCACACTTGAGCTGTCATGACAGTTTTTGTGAAACTGTGTCAGTTTCATCCAGCGGTACAAGAAGTTGTGTAATGCAGTAAATTGCTTCAGGACAACATTTCACTCAGCTGGATGACAGTTCTGCTCTATCAGGTGTAACTGTACTCATCATTCACTAAAGATACACTGAGAGAATATTTTAGTTGGCTTCATCTAAGTTTGTACAGCAGTTAAGGGCCAGCCTGAAGGCCTCTGAATAAGTATAGAGGGATAATTCGCATTATAGTGATTATTTTTACTATCATTTGAAGTCTTTGTGCAGATTAAAAAAAAAAAAAAAAGAAGAAGTCTTGTCCTAAATGACAGCTTTGGATGAGATGGATTTCTATACCATTGCTGCATTCACAGGACAGATATAAACTCACTACAACTTTGACGTTTGTTTGCCTGTTTGTTTGTCGTCCATACAGCAGCTCCAGCAGCAACCTCAGCAGCAGGCAGCAATGCTCCCACTGCCTGGCGGCGGAGGTGTGGCAGTGCCTTCGGCAGGCCCCACAGCTGACCCTGAGAAGCGCAAGCTGATCCAGCAGCAGCTGGTCCTGCTGCTTCATGCACACAAGTGCCAGCGAAGGGAGCAGGCCAATGGAGAGGTGAGGGCCTGCGCCCTGCCTCACTGCCGCACCATGAAGAACGTCCTCAACCACATGACCCACTGCCAGGCCGGCAAATCCTGCCAGGGTGAGTTGGAGTTTTCGAAACAATCAGACAATGAAGTTGATCACATCTTGATGTTGCGAAGTCCGTAGAAGTCTCTTGCCTGTTTTGCTGATTGTGACTCTGCTATTGTGTGGTCACATTTTTGAAGGTTCACTTTGTTTTTGTCATTTGATCTCTGAATCTTTCATTGAAGATATTGAAATCGACCTTTAAAATACCAACATATATCAGGCTTCCCCTAATGGGAATATCTAGTGTGTGGTGGGTGTTAAGTTTAAGGGTGTTGTGGGAGTTGGCAGTTAAGATCAAATGTCGATAATCATCCAGACACAGTAGGTGGTAAAAGCAGCACAATGACAATCCAAGTTATTTGCACAATAGTGTAGTCAAGTGCAAAAAAAAAATAAATCTCTTATTTCCACAAAGATAATACTTAGCGACGCTATTTAATACCTGCAGTAGCTAGTAACTTTTCCTCCCATTAATTTCTCTGTTCTCTTATTGTAGCCATCTGTGTTGCTATTTTTAGGCAAAGTTTCTTTTTGCCATCTTGAAATGGAGTGGATTCAAAAGGTAGCAGCAGATTTATTAAAAATCAAAAGCTGAAATCTGTTGTTCACTCAAGTTGTCAGACCCACAATTCAGTGCTTTATAGCAATTCTTTTTGTAGCAGTTGCAGCTTTGAGTCCTTTTCTTGGGTAAGTCTCCACGAGCTTGAACTGCTTGGTAACGGTCACAGAGTTGTCCCAATGCCCCTCCAGCTGTGTCTTTGTCATGATGACAGGTGGATGGTCACCCCAGTCTCAGTTTTCTTTCGGTACACCTCTGCATTTGGCTGCATTTATCCTTCCTTTAATTCTGACCAGTCTGCCTGTCCCACTGCAGAGAAGCCCTCCGATAGCCTCCAAAACCATGCTTCACAGTAGAGAAGGTATTAACCAGGTGTAGAGCAGTGTCTGGTATTTGCAAGACATAGTGCTTGGAGTTCTGCCAAAAGAGCTGAATTTTTATCTCACCAGACAGGAAAATCTCTTCCCTCGTGTTTTATATTCTATAAAAGCTGTTTGCCAAACTCCAAGTGGGCTGTCATCTGTCTTTTACTTAGATTGGCATTTTTGGCTGCTCTACCATAAAGGCTAATTGATGGCGTGCTGCTGAGATGGTCTGCCTTCTGACAGGTTCTTCTATCTGTGCAAAGGCCTTCTGGAAATATGTTGGATGACTATTAGGTTCTAAGGGCCCTTCTTAATCTGTTACTCAGTTTCACTATTACTGAGGTTACTGTGCTTCTGGGAACACTCAACAAATTGGAAGTGGTTTTGTAACATTCCTTGATCGTATGCCTCACAGCAGCTTTGTCACAGAGATCTACAGATAGTTCCCTTGAACTTAAGGGCATGGTTTTCCCCTGTTCTGTCCACTGAATTGTTGGTCCATTGGTATATACACAGTTAGGTGAGTTTGTCCAGTCATACAGTTTGTCACAGTTTGATTCTAGTTCAGTTCTAGCCACACCAGATTTGTTTTTTGTTTTCACTAAATATGCAAAAATTGTTAAAAAACAAAAAAAAACAAAAACAAAAAACATGTCTTTACCTTTGTCACTTTGGATTATTGAATATGGCAGTTTCATCACTTTAAACATAAATTTACAACACAACAAAATGCAAAAGTAAGGGGATTGGAAGGCTTTCCGAACAGCATCTCCACATACTAATGATCTGCTTAAATTCATTAGATAATTCTTCCATTCAAGCATCTGTTTGTTTAACACTGATTATTAATATTTTGTAATAGTTTTGTCCAGCTAAAGTTCCTTTATATCACATAAATATAAAAGTAATTGTTTGCAATAGTACGATGTATTAGATACACATTTGTAAACCCTCATTGGTCATACCGTGTGTCTCTGCCTTATCCCGGTGTGGCATACGGGGAATTTCCATCCATTCAAAAAACACTGACCTCCCACCTGCTCGCCTTTGCGGCTGTGTCAGCTGTTTCTCCCCCCAATAGTTTCATTGACCTGATTAGTGCCGTTTCTTTGTGTTTGTTTCTTTCTGCTCCTTTCTGTGTCAGCCCCAGCATTCCTGTGATGAAAAATTCCCCTCAAGCTACGCTCATTTAAATTTGGCTCCACATCTTTGCGCCACTTTTGGGCTTGAACGCTTAAGTTAAATTGCAAGCCAAACACACAAGAGGCCAAGGTGTGTTAAGTGTGAAGGCGTCTGTCTTTCTGCTCTCTGCATGCCAACTCATTTCCTTCTGCTCAGGATTCTTGCCTCTCAGTACCACTGAAATAACCGTGGAGAGAGATTTTGTTTCCCAACACAGTTATCTCTAGCATTTTTAGATTTATCTGATGTCTCTTGGCTTGGTTCATTTTCACCTGACGAACCCCAGAGTCTGCGGTATGAGTTGTGCTCGGATTGTAGCTGGACTTAAATCTGAGGCCTATTTTTTCTTTGTCACTGCATACTGAATCTACAAAAAGATAAGCGTATGATAGCACTGCTGTGTTTGAGGTTTTTTTCCAGTTCTGTTGGCTTTCTTAAAAAGATAATAAAGTTCAATTATGCTTATTTGTACATAGCCCTTGAAGCCATGTAGTAATTTTAAATGGACCAGCACTCACAAGTGCCAGGTACCGAACAGAACTGATTTTAGGCTGGTGGTGATTTCTTTTCAGATTAGCTGCTGCCACATTAGCCTGGCCACAGATGAAATGAAGCACCTCAGTTTGTTCAGTTGCCCACTAGGAAACATGGTTTAGATTCCCTTTCCTCTGGGCCCAACCAACAGCCTTTCAAGAGTGAAAATTAGTGCAGCGAGCTGAAACTGAGATCTTCCTTTTGGGCAGACACGTTTCTTTACTGTACTTTCTCTCATTTACGCTTGCTGTCCATCTGTCTCGTTATATCTGCTTTTTCTTCTTTTTATATTACACAGAGGACCACCAAACCCATCATTTACTTGTGTTACTGTAGCAAGCGTTTGTGTCTTATTTTTTACCAGTGTCTATGAAGTAGTATTTTCATAGATCCCCTTTTTAGGCAGGTTAAGCAAAACAAACTTTTCCTGGAAACTCACAATTAAAAGATATTTCTGGAAATAAATTAGAAATTAAGGTTAGCTGGGCAAATAACCCCCCAAAATAATGAACATAGCCAATGAATCATGTCTGTCAATGTGTGCTTGCATTTTTTGTGGGTTTTTTGTAGGGCTGGACCCGAATAGCCGACTATACATTCACTGTGCTGGAATCGGGATATCAATTTTGATATCCGAATTCCCCCCAGAAGGTCAAAGTCGCTGTCTGAAATTTTATTTCTAAACACCTCATTTGTTTCCAAAATGGCTCGTATGCAGGCTACGGCACATGCTAACCAAGCAGCTGCAGTGCATTCAGACGTGTGTGACCCAAAAACAATGTTGAAAAATAGTAAAATAAGGTATTCTAAGGTCAGATTTGCCCAAGTTGAAACTGAGTGCTTTTTCTACATGGGCTGTTTTTCTGTGAGTACAATATTCTATATATGGACATTTCTATAAGCAGAGTGCATTTTAAATGCCAATACTGCAGTTGAGTGTATTGTTGCAAGTGTCAGACAGGAAGGGACTAACTGAGCCAGTAACAGAGACAAAGAACTAGTTTCAACCACAATGGCTAGCATAGTAGCTGTGCCGAATGTGCACCAAATCAGCCCGATCATCATCATACACTCAGACATATGTGACCATGTGCAATTTTTACTCGCACACTCTCACAAATGGGTCGCGTATGCAACCATTTTTTGGCCCATTCTGGAGCCCTGCGTTGGGTTTCAACAACAAAAGCCAATCTATGTGAACACAGCCTATCTTTTTAAGATTTTAAGATGGCGGTGCTCTGCTCGGCTGCGGCTGCACTAGCTCGCGACAACATCGGATCGTTTTTGTGCGATTATTATGACAACACTGTGAGTTTAGTGGCTAATCCGCCGTCTATAGTAAGGACTTGTGTGTATGATTGCCCATTCCTATTTGGACCGCAGACTTTGAACAGTTTTCAAGCTGTGAACTCGGACACTCTGGAGAGGCTACGTAGCTTCGGCCTGCTGAGGTGGCAGCAGAGCTCCCTTCCCACACAGACCGATGCAGGGAGAGACGGAGGCGATGTGACAGAAAACGTAAACGGGGCTGCAGAGCTGGGCTATCGGCTAAGCTAAGAGCTAACCCGTTTAAAACTCTGCTCCCATCTGTTTTACTGTCTAACATTTGCTCTCCGGAGAACAAATTGGACTATCTCAAGCTGGACCTAACAACAAAACAGGAGGTGAGAGACTGTTGTGTCCTTATCCTGACGGAATCGTGACTGAACTCGGCTGTACCTGACGACGCCATTAGCCTACAGGGGCTAACTACGTTCTGACTGGATAGGAGCCAAGCCCTCAGTGGAAAAGCCCATGGTGGAGATGTAGTACTTTACATCAATGAAAAATGGTCTAATCACACAGTAGTGGTCTCTCGTCAGTGCTCTCCTGACGTAGAGCTCCTTGCTGTGAAATCCAGACCATTTTACCTGGCCCGGGAACATCCCATTGTTATCGTCATGGCGGTGTACATCCCCCCCCCCCAGTGCGAACACAAAGGAGGCCCTGAGTGCTCTGTACCAGACCATGACAAAGTTGCAAACCACACATCCAGAGGGCAGTTTCATTGTAGCTGGAGATTTTAATCAGGTTGACATGAAGACCGTTGTCCCCCCTTTCCAGCAATATGTGGACTTTACAACTAGAGGATTAAACACACTGGACTTGGCCTACACAAACATCATGGATACCTACAGGGCTGCCCCCCAACCCCACCTTGGCTCCTCTCACCATCTGTCTATGGTGCTAATACCAGCATACAAGCCCCTGCTGACCAGAGGAAGACCTACTGTGAGGCAGGTAAGGGTCTGGCCTGAGGGAGCAATGGAAGCCCTACAGGACTGTTTCAAGTGCACAGAACTGGGACATGTTCAAAGCTGCTGCAACAGAAAATGAACACACCAATGTGGAGGAGCACGCTGCATCTGTGTCTGCCTACATCCGAAAGTGCACAGAGGACCTCTGCGTCATGAACATCTCCACCAGGGCTAACGAGAAGCCATGGATGACGCAGGAGGTACGGGAGAAGCTGAAAGCACTGAACGCTGCTTTCAAGTCCGGTGATGAGGTCAGAACAGCCAGAGCCAACCTCAACCGGGCTATCAGAATAGCAAAGCGTGCACATGCTGGGAAGATTCAGAGCGTCTTTCATGATCCCAACAACAGCAGGAGCATGTGGCAGGGGATCCAGGCAGTAACGGATTACAAGGCTACTCCTCCACTGTGTGACGACAATCCGCACCTCCTCAACAAACCGAATAATTTTTTCTGTCGTTTTGGAAGGAATACCAGCAACCCTGCAACAAAAACCAGCCCCCTCCCTGAGCGTGGCTGCGGTCCGTAAGACCCTGAAGGAAGTGAACGTGCGCAAGGCAGCAGGCCCTGACAACATTCCAGCACGAGTACTCAGGGAGTGTGCTGACCAGCTGGCACAGGTGCTGACGGACATCTTCAACACCTCGCTGGAACAGGCTGTTGTTCCATCGTGTTTTAAAGCTGCCACCATACCAGTGCCCAAAAAAATCCACCATCACATGCCTCAATGACTACTGCCCAGTGGCACTAACACCCATAATGATGAAGTGTTTTGAGAGGCTGGTGAAGGACCATATCATCTCCACACTGCCCCCTGGACTTGACCCACACCAATTTGCTTACTGGCCGAACTGCTCCACCAAGGATGCCATCTCCACTCTGCTCTCCGTCTGAGCCTGGCACATCTGGAGGACAAAAACACTCACGTGCAAATGCTGCTGGTTGACTTCAGTTCAGCATTTAACACGATCATCCCCCAGCAGCTGGTAAGCAAACTGAATCCACTGGGTATCAGCACCCCCATGTGCAACTGGCTGCTAGACTTCCTCACCAGCAGACCGCAGTCAGTGAGAGTGAGAAACACCATCACCACCATCTCTGTCTCAATCGAATCCCCACTACTGTTCACGCTGCTGACACATGACTGCTGCTCTGCATCTGCCTCAAATCACATCATTAAGTATGCAGACGACACAACAGTAGTGGGTCTCATTAGGGACAGTAACGATCTGTCCTACAGAGAGGAGGTGAAACAGCTGGTGGACTGGTACGGTGCAAATAGTCTGATCCTGAATGTCGAGAAGACCAAGGAATTGATCATCGACTTCAGGAGGAAGCAGCCTAGTTATTCACCTCTCACCGTCAACAACAGAGCTGTGGAGGTGGTCAGCAGCACCAAATTTCTGGGGATGCACATTACAGACAGTCTGGATTGGTCATTGCACACATCATCTCTGGTTAAACGGGCTCAGCAACGTCTGCACTTCCTGTGACGGATGAAGAGAGCATAGCTGTCCCCTCCCATCCTGCTCACCTTCTGCAGAGGCACCATAGAGAGCGTGCTGACCAGCTGCATCTCCATCTGGTTTGGCAGCTCCAGGGCCTCAGATAGGAAGTTGCTGCAGAGGGTGGTGAGGACGGCAGAGAAGATAATTGGAACATCTCTTCCATCCATCCAGGATGTTGCATACAAGTGCTGTCTCAGCAGAATCCGAAACATCATCAAAGACTCCACACACCCACACCATGGACTGTTCTCCCTGCTTCCCTCCGGGAGGAGGTTCTGCAGCACCAGAGTGAGAACAACCAGGTTCTGCAACAGTTTCATACCCCAAGCCATCAGACTCTTAAATTCACAATAATCCTTCTGGTTCACCCATGGTTCACTGTGAATTGTAACAGCTGCTACAGTTCATGTTTCATGTGCAATACTGCTGCTAAGTGCAATTCTACTGATACATTTTACACTGCAGAAACTGCTGCTACTGCTTTACTGTGAAAATAAATGTGTACAGATGTGTATGTATGCAGGTGTGTATTATGTGTGTGTGTGTATATATATATTATTTGTGCTTTGTTTTTTTTGTCCATGTACATATTATAATTGTTTTTATTTCTAATATTTGTTTATTTTTTGGTATTACCAGTCCGATGATGAGTTTTTGCATAGAATTTTCAGCCAAAATGTGCACCAACTAGTGTATCTCCTGTTTGACAAGAAAGTGGCTATTCTATTCTATATTCTATCGTCATTTAGCTGCCAAGCCTCATTAGATACTGATGTTACTTTACTTGAGGTATCATTTTGTAATTTGAAGTAGCTGTGCTGACCAACATAATTGGGTACATGTCTGCCATTGCTATTGTTAACATGTGCAACAGTTAGTCCTTAAAAAAAGAGATTATACCTCAATAATACTTATATTAAGTCTCCCCTTACTAATAGCTAAAACTTTATTTTGTGAGTCAGTGGTTGCTACTTCCATCCAAAGTTGGTATTGCAGAGACATGTCTAAGCAATTGTTTTATTATTTTGTTGATGAGGATCTGTCACAATCCAGTCGCTCCAGCACTCATCCAATCACTGATTGTTGTTTGGCAGGTCATTCCTGTTGTCATCTTATCTTGCAATTTGAGATTGTGTTTTTCTTTTTATTTCAGTGCATAGAACTGTTACTTTTACATCATAAGTTGACTTTTTATGTTCATTCAGCTCGGCAGATCACCCGGGCTTTGTGCTTAAGCCTTTCAATGGTAGCGAAAATGTTTCCCTTGTGATAAGTATGTGGTGGTGACCAACAATCGTCACCAAGATTTTAAACCTTGTTTCTCTCTTTGCCTTTGCAGTGGCTCACTGTGCGTCGTCCAGACAGATCATCTCCCACTGGAAAAATTGCACACGACACGACTGTCCCGTCTGCCTACCGCTGAAAAATGCTAGCGACAAGCGCACCCAGCAGCGTAAGTACAAGCAGAAATCTCTGGCCCACTGTCGCTTAATCATTGTCAAGTCGCTCATCGTGATCGCAGACACCAAACACAAGACTGAATTGCCTGCATTGATTGTGTTCAGTAGCAGGACATCCAGACTTGGCAAGCTCTGGTTTTGCCTTCCAAAAGCCTCCGTTTTTATCTGTCATTACCAGGATATTATGTTGGTATATTGAGCTCTAATAGTCCATAGTGGCAATTTTAGAAAGACCTTTTTGCTTTCCTGAAATCAGTCAAATACATTTGTGTGTGGAGTAGGTGTGTATCTTGCCATTCAACATTGGCCAAGCATTTTATTTCTAGGTCTGTGCTCCTCTGTGATGAGTAAAAGCACTCGATGACTAAGAGAGCAGTCCTGCTGGGCTTGTAATCTGACACACAGGAGGGATAGGAGTGTGAGAGAGAGGAAACGGAGAGTGTGTGCTAGAGAAGTCCCACAGAGCGATTGGCTGTTGGGTTGTTTACTGCTACCCCTCACTAGACCAGAGCAGAGTTTAACACTCTGTCTGCCTATTAAAACTGCTTTTCTTTCAGTTTTGTAGTAACTGCTATCATGGGTTCACAGTCTGTCTGTGCCCTGCCATCTTTTCTGTACTCCCTGGATCCCTTACTGTAGATAGAACTTTCTTTCCAGTTTTTTTTTCACATCACTGCTGAGCATCTTTCATCACTTACAGCATTCCAGTGTTAGTCTGTCCGTGATTGGCTTGCATGTTAAAAAACATGATGCCGTCTTGTGCTCCTGCCAACGCAAACAGAGTGCACTGTTTCTTTGTTCTGCCTCCTCCGATTTTTGTCTTTGCACAATCTGAGAGCTTTTTTAGTCCAACCAAATCCTGAACCCAGAAGAATATGCTAATGCTTTGTCCCCTGAAGGGATTTATGCATTTATTCAGCTCCTTGCTTTTTAAAGCGTTTAGCCTTACATTAATGTTCTCACTGTATCATGCTGCCATGTTATGACTTAATCTTGCCAGAGGTCAAAGTATGCAAATGCATGTGTATTTTGTATTACCTGTTGAAGTATTCTCCTTATCTGCCGTGTGTTCATGAAAACATGTTCTCTTCATATTTTTGGAACTTGGCACACAGCATAAGCATTTGCATTTTGTTTACACACTGTACTTGGTGAGGCATTAGAGTAAACAAGATGGTCAACATTGCAAGCTGTTTGCAGCATAGACCGTATGATTATATGTGAGTGTTTTTAACTGACTGCTGTACCTCTCTCCCCAGCCATGCTGAGCTCCCCCAATACGGGCCTCCAGAACCCCATGTCCTCCGTTGGTGTGGGTCAGCCCAGTGCTCCCACCATCAATACCTCAACCCCCATAGACCCCAGTTCAATGCAGAGAGCCTACGCGGCACTCGGGTTGCCGTACAGCAGCCAGGCTACGGGGCAGGCTCAGTCCCAGCAGGCCCCAGGACAGACCGCAGGTGCTCAGAACGCCCAGGGTCAGCAACAACAGCAGCTAACGCAGCAGATGAGACCCATCAATACACTTGGTAAAGTCAGATAGGTTGAATTCATTCCAAATTTTCCATGAGCAGTTTTGTAAGAAAATATTGGGTCCTTTGTGTTTGTGTACGTATAAATGTGCATTACACTAAACTGCAAGGCTCTTAAAGGGGAGCCTTTGAGGAAGCCTCTAGGATAACAAGAGAAACACCTTCAATAACCATAAATAAGTCTAATTTTAGTCAGGCAATGAGGATTGTGTGTAAAACAAACTGTTCTTTGGAAACTGTAAAGGGAAAAAAAAAAAGTCTTCGAGAAACACCAAAGCCATATTGCATGCACTAAGCTTGATGTTATACTGAGGCAGTGCTGTTTGCTCACAATGTTCTGTATTTACAGGTAACCAGATGGCTCTTGGAGGCGCGACAATGGGTGTGACCACTTCAGATCAGACAAACCTGCACACAGACTCTCTTCCCAACGCTCTCAACACTAACAAGTCAGTTTTAGCCAAGTACAACAATAACTGCTTTCAGTTTATTGACCTAAATTGTAGGAAAGTTGCCTCTTACAATATGAATGTGTATTGGATCTGATAGTGTTGTGAAAGTGGAAATGAGAACTCGTAAATATAACAGCAGTTGGATATGCCTGTATGGATATGTGGATAACTTCTAACCCTCCTCCTGTTCCACCTCCAGTCAGCTGCTGTCAGACGGGTCAGCTGTGGGATCAATGGGCAGCCTCCCCACAGCAGCACCCATCTCTGCCACAGGCTCCAGGAAAGCCTGGCATGAGCACGTCACTCAGGACCTGCGCAATCACCTCGTACACAAACTGTAAGTGTATACCTCTGCTGGAGAGAAATAACGGTGGTTTGTAGTAAAAATTGCCAGAGACTTTAATGGCTACAAATTCTTTTCTTTTGTGGCAGAGTACAAGCCATATTCCCTACCCCTGACCCGGCAGCTTTGAAGGACAGACGAATGGAGAACCTGGTGGCATACGCCAGAAAGGTGGAGGGGGACATGTACGAGTCAGCTAACAGTCGGGTAAGTGTTTCCAAAAAAATGCCTCGAACAGGGCCCTACTTGAAATACTTAATAACTGCATTTAAGGCTACACACACACACACACACACACACACAGCCTTTTGCTATAGCTCCAAATTTCACAGAATACTTGTAGTTTCCATCAGCTTCACTGTGTATTTCCAACCTTCTTCCCTCCAGGATGAGTACTATCACTTCTTGGCTGAGAAAATATACAAAATCCAAAAGGAACTGGAGGAGAAGAGGCGCTCTAGGCTACAAAAGCAGATCATCAACCAGGCACCTTTGACTGCTCAGGGGACCCAACAACCTGGCCTCCCCCAGCCTAATGCCTTGGGCCCAAGACCACAGAGTGAGTACAAGTCTATATAATGAAATACAGGCTTTCATGTTAAATCTCAAACCGTATTTAATTTGATGTATTACCCAACTAGGACTATTCAAAATGTTAATATACACCCAGTGGCTAATTTAGTGGTACACTTGTACAGTCGGTTTCGATTCACAAGATTTATGGCAGTGCCATAAATTCTACCTTTACAGTTAAGTTTGTGAGCCAAAAGGTTTTATCCATATTGCCTAGACCTATATTTAGCCACTGTAGCACATAGTAGAAATCTATGCAGCCTTAGTGGAGGTGTTGGAGTTTTTGCCTCACATTTTGAATTGTGGTAGTTATTTATTTATGTGTACATGCGTGCTTGGTCCTTATAATGTTTTGTTTTTTGTTTTTTTTTACAGATGGACCTGTTCCTCTGCCCAACATGCCAAATCAAATCATGAATCGCATGCAGGTTTCACAAGGTAAATATTTCATGTTGTAAGTGGCACATGTTATTTTCAGATGACAGAAAACCCAATATAGCAAATTGACAGGAGAGCAAAAGCAGCAAACTGTTTATAACAGTGCAGAAAATATACAGTAACGTCTTAGTTTCACAAAGTGAAAGGGCACAGGGACTACTGAGCAATAGACAAGAAGAAGAATAAGGAAGTTGTAAAAAAATCAAATAAAATAAATGGGGATGATAAACCAAAAAAGAGGAAGATCGTCAGGATTAAAAAGAGAGATGCTGAACTAAAATAACTGGAAGTACGAATAAAGAATAGTGTGAGTGAAGCAGAACCCACAGTACATACTCAAGTAAACATGCAAAGCGAACAGTTCTGAGGTAAGATGCCACCTGCTGCATTTCTGCTGTGCAAGTACTGCAGCATAACTATTTCATACAGCGTCACTGTATTGTATAACCTTCCCGACTGATTTAAAATAAGGAAAGAATGTCTGTAAACTTTCACCACTATCTCGGCCACGCGTAGAACCTCTGTATTTGTTCTTCATTGTGTGTCCATTGCTGAACATTTTGGTCTGCTCTTCTGTACAGGAATCAACCAGTTCAACCACATGGCTCTGCCCAATGCCCAGATGTCTCAGGCACCGATGGGAGCCCGAGCTGCCTCACCCATGAACCACCCACAGCAAATGAACATGAGCTCCGTTCCAGCGGTGAGGAGGGCACACGGATCCACGCAAATCACACGCACACATACTGTCATATAAGTAACATCCTCCAACTTCCAGTCTCACACTCTGTCTGCACAATCTACCTTAAATTTAATAAAAATGTAGTCGACTGGTTAGGATTTGTTTAAAAGTGGCAGCTAGATTTCTAAGATGGATGAGTTCCTGGACCAGGTGGACAGAAGCAAAAGACCTGCTTTGTGCAGAAGCAAGTAAATTACAAAGACAAGAGCAGACCATTACTTAAGCGAGTTTCTTGTCTTGCTGCAAAGTGTTGCTTTTAGAATGAGATGTTAGGGTTCTCAGAACCCAGGTGTGAATTAGAGGTATTTACCTTTTAGTGTGAAATAATGTGTCCTGTTATTACACTTCTGTTTAAAGAACAGGACTGTGCTGAGTACAGACTGTGTGTCATGGCCACATTTTGGATTGAGGCAGGCAGTTTGTTATAGCATGTGGCCTTTCAACATTTGGGTTAATAAAGGACTCGCTAATGTGAACTTGTGCAGTTCTATTTGCGAGACAATGAGTCAAATAAGCTTGTTGGTTATTGAGTACAGATTTAAATCAGACTGACACTGGATTTATAGGGTTGATATGGATACTGATGGCACACAAAAGATATTATTTTTAACTGGCACATTACAAAAGTTAAAATGTAGAAGGTGGTTAATGGAGAATTATGAGCAAGATGTGCATATACTGGGACTTTGACATCAACTAAACTTCAAAGTGCTCTCTGATAGATGGACAACAAGACGTTTCCACTCTATTTTGTAATGCTGTAGCATATCAGCTCATTTTTACCTTAATATAAATGCAATCCACTTAAACTGGTTGACAAAAGGTAATGCTGTCTGGCTGTAGCAGATTTGCTTTATCAGTCATCAACCTTGTTAATAATCAGTGTTGTAAACCTGCAAATCACCAACTTAATGCTTTTCGTCTTTGGAAATCTTATTTAAAGAGTTGGTGGCCTGTTTTCACAGTACAACACAAATAATTTAGATATCAGACTGTTAAGTTTAACCATTGAATTATTAATGATGTTGGCTCCTCAAGTCTTTACGCTGTCTGTCATTAGTCAACATATTAATAATAAAAAGTCCAAGTGTTTCTCAGTAATTCACAGTCTAGTTGGGATTAAGCACTTTAAAAAGCCCTTTACCATTAGTTAATTACTCTGATAATCACTACAGCTGTACTATCAACAGGGAAACTGTGAAGAAAAAGGGAATCCAGGCAGTTGAGACACACAGAGAACCCTGTTGCAGCACTCCACCCACCTCATCACGTGCATACACACACTGTCTCTCATAAAGTCTTATTGTAGATGCAAGAAATTCATTGCACACTATTCTTTCATTATCATGCAGCTGGAATGCCAGTAATGTGATTGGGCTTTGCCGTGGTTGATGTTTCTGATTTGTTCAGTGGAAACTCCCATCACTCTGCTCATAAACAACATCTCCTCCTCCTGCCTTGTAGATGGGAATGTCTCCCTCCCGGATGCCTCAGGCCCAGGGCATGATGACTGGACACAGTGGCGGCAACATGGTGGGCCAGACGGCCAGCCAGGGGCAGTTCATGTCTCAGACCCAGTTCCCTCCAGGATCTGCTGCAGTGGCTGCGACGGGTGCAATGAATGTCACTGTGGGGCCTGGCATGGGCCAACCTCCGGCGCAGGCTGCTGTCACCCAGGTGAGCCATGAAGAGAGATGAGGGGCGTGGAGCTGTCATAATGCTAACCCTTTTAGAGTTTGCTGCATAGTCGTGCTAATTCCAACTAGCAGACGGGGAACTAAACTCCAGCTACTTTAACCAATCATACAACACACTAATTGCTCTTAAACTGTTGTCGTGCCAATCACAAGGTGCTCTCTAAACCCCAAATTGTGTGTGGTGTTGTTTGTCTGTTGGACCTCTTGACTGTATGTTTGTCTGCCTCTGTTGTGTGTCTGTGTGTGTGTCTGTGTGTGTGTGTGTCCACCTGCTCTCTGTATGTGTCCTTCTCTCCAGCAGCAGCAGCAGAGCGCTAACCTCCCCATGAATGCACTTGGCCCCTCGCTGGGCCCTCAGCTAGCCTCCTCCCAAACCCCCTTGCACTCCACGCCTCCGCCTGCTGCCTCCTCCGCCTCCACGGCTGGGGGGGCCACTAACCTGCCGCACCCCCAGCCCTCCAGCCGCAGCTCCACCCCCACCCTCCCTGGCCATGCCCCAGCCCCAGCCCAGGGTGCCACCCCGCCCTGCCCCACCCAGCCCCAACCCCAGGCGGAGCTCCCTGCAGCAGCGCAGACGCAGCCCCCGCCTCAGCCCCCTACCACGCCGGTGAGACTGAGTCCCTCCGCATGCCCTCCACTTTGACCCCCTCCCCTCCCTTCCGTGCAAACTCCCATCCCTCTGACTGCCATGTACCAACCCATCCCATTCACATCCACCTACCTTTCTGTCTGATAACTGCATCTTCACCTCTGTTTGTAGCTCCATCACAATGGGAATGTTACATCTTTCAGCATAGGGGAGCAATGATCAATGATATGAATACAGGAGGTGTTCCTTCATGTCATAACTTCAGCCCTGCATGCAAAAGGAGGGAAAGAAGTTGTTGCAAATACCTCATATTTGTCTCTTCTTTCTCTCTCTCTGTCTCTCTACCTTTCCCCTCCTCCTTTGTGTTTCAGCTGTCTCAACCAGGAGCCAGTCTGGACAACCGGGTCCCCACGCCAGCCTCAGCTGCCAGCGCCGACCTGCACTCGCAGCATGTTGGAGCAGACCTGCCTGTCCAGGAGGTCAAAGCGGAGACACACCACGACCAACAAGAGTTTGAGGCCGCTGGCGGCAAAACTGAGCCCAAGATGGAGGTGGGCTGGGTCTGCATTTTCAAATCCGCTTATCAATCAATACCCTTTAAATGAAATTCTTATTGTATGGCCAAAAAGCATGTGAAAGCCAGTCTTAAGTTGGAAATAAAGGGTTTCTTTTAACATAGTTTTTTTTTCTGAAAATTGACGAGTGCACCTGATTGACTGCAGTCATTGCATAGATGCTATACAGACTTGCCAGTGATCACCACTGATTCATCTCTCCCTCATTCCTCTGTTAAAGCTTGTGTAGGCAGTATTTTTTGGCATAGATGGACAAAAATTCCATACAGACTTGTCAGCATATTGTAATAAAAGTGGTCTGAGAGAAAGCTAGACTTCTGCACCTCCTCCAGGCTTTATAAAATTTAGCTCATAAGGGAGAGGTGAACTAATTACAAGCCATTTCACCCAAAGCAGGTGAGATAGTGTAAATAATGACAAAGTCTGAGATGAGAGCAGAATGTGAAGGTACAGTGGGTGAGATAGAGAACTTTCACTTGGGAGAGTGGGGTCAAATCGTGGGTAAAGCCACAAATGAATATTGACTTTTAGCTTGACTCTCCTTCTGTGTTTGAAGCATGTGCTTGTCTGGTGGGAGGGGCTTAGAGCAGAAAGACGAGATGTAAGAGGAGGGCTGTACATTTTCAAATTCTCTTCTTTTTCCTGTCTTCTGCTTACTACAGCTTTAAATAAAGCTCAAGTTGACTGAATAGCTTTAATTTGCATTTTAAGTTATGTAGATGCATGTAGTTAATCAGCTTGTGTACTCATTTGGCATTACTCTCGTATTTATTTGAAAAAAATCACATTTGATTTTGTAAATCTTAAGTTGTGTTGTTAATTTTAAAGGTACTTACTTAATCCATATTGTCAGTAGCCAATGAGGTTGTTTGTCCTCGGCTGCTGTTAGTACCAAACACTTGTTTAAAACAGGAGGCTTGTTGAGGAGCAAAAGAACATCGAGAGCATTGGATAACAGAATCTAAGGGATGCGGACATACATGCCCACAATTAATCCTAAATGAGAGGGAAACACTTCCCTGCTCGTCATTAGTTGTATCAGAAACAGATATTGCCATAAACCAAACCTCTTTGGTACTCTTTGTACTCTCTGCAGACTGAGGATGACTCTGCTTCGATGATGGTAAAGAAGGAGGAGCCAGAGGAAAAGCCGGAGCCAATGGAGGTGGAGGAGAAAAAGCCGGAAATGAAGACAGATCCCAAAGAAGAGGAAGAGGGTGGAGCTAACAGCACAACCTCCTCATCGCCCTCTCAGTCACGGCGGAAAAGTGAGTCTGAGGCCAAGGGATTAATAAAATCTGTATAAAAGCCATGACTGAGAGAAATGAGCTCTAGAGACATGGTTTTGGCTATTGCCTGTTATGTTAATTAACAACATCATTAGTCTGGCACTGAATGAACAATGTGCAGAGTCCCGTAGGTCTTCTTGGATCTTGCCAGTATTAAACCAAAATAATCAACAGGCTGTGCACCTGCTGCTAGAATATCTTCAACAAATCATGATACTGCTGAAGGGTCAGCTTTTGTACCATTTCAGTCATGGTTGATTTTCAGGCTAGAGCCAATGGGTGTTTAAGATGAAAAGATATAAGCCTGCACAGGCATGGAATGTGCATCGTAATGTGCAGTTTTTATTGCTCGGGCTCAACGTTGTAACAATAGCGGCGGTGTTGACGTATCCGTCTGTTTCAGACTTGATAATTACCAACAGGTGTTGTAATACCGATCAAAATATAGGTCAGGGTTTGGTTTTGTTTGCCATCAGGTCAACAGTTGCGCTCGTAAGTCTATTTTTGTAAAGCCATTTTAAATTTTTTTCATAAACATGCACAGCTGCGTTTCAGTACAGAAAATGTTACAGTCGCCCTCTTTTTCTTGTGTTTTATTTGTTTCCTTTTCTAGTAAACCTTTTCCTCTAACCTGCCTCCCTTTTGGATTACGCTACTTACCTTGCCTTTTTACCGTTTATTTTTCAGTCTTTAAGCCTGAGGAGTTACGCCAGGCTCTGATGCCGACTCTGGAGTCTCTTTACAGGCAGGACCCTGAGTCGCTGCCTTTCAGACAGCCGGTAGACCCCATGCTGCTGGGTATCCCGGTAGGTACCTAATAAGCACTGGTTACCTAAACACAAAACCTTCCTAAATGATTAAATGTTGCTTGTAGATTTGGTGCTTATATGTCATTCAGCTGCACTGTTTTAGCTCACTAGTGTAAAATCTTCCTCGTTTTTGTCTCTCTAGGACTACTTTGACATTGTTAAGAACCCTATAGACCTGTCCACAATAAAGCGCAAGCTGGACACTGGGCAGTACCAAGAGCCCTGGCAATATGTGGACGATGTCTGGCTGATGTTCAACAACGCCTGGCTCTACAACCGCAAGACATCCCGCGTCTACAAGTACTGCTCCAAGCTGGCTGAGGTGTTTGAGTCAGAGATCGATCCTGTCATGCAGGGCCTGGGCTACTGCTGCGGGAGGAAGGTAAGATTGAAGTCAAAGATACTGTAAACAGTTTGTTGTATTTAATGTCTAAACACGCAACAATGGTTAGATTCAGTAGCACAAATTTCACTTTGTGGCTTTTGTTTTGTGCACATCATCAAGCACCAGCTGAAAGATCAGGCAAATTTAGATGGTAAACCAAAGACAGAAGTTAAAGTCATGAGGGGGATTCAGACTAATTATATTTCTGCTTCTGATTGAAAAGATTTACTGAACAGTTTTGTGTGAATTATGTTGACCTTTGTCATGTCGCTTGTGTTTGCAGTACGAGTTCTCCCCTCAAACCCTCTGTTGCTATGGCAAGCAGCTCTGCACCATACCTACTGGAGGCACATACTACAGCTACCAGAACAGGTATGCTTGTGTGGATTATTGTGGTTTGTTGTGAATATCGTTGCCCGTATGGTTAGCTTTGATCTCAACTAGTTATTGGTTTTTTAAATACTATTTCACTCGCTGAAATTCTCACTGACTAGTCTAATTTGAGTCACACTTTTGCACGCAGGCATTTAGAGTTTTAATGGCAATAAAAGCAGCCATTTGAGCTAGGCTGTGCTCATCCCCTGCAGCCCGAGTTTTGTTCCTCTGTAGCTTTAGAGGATCCGCGGTGGTCCAGGCAGTACTGTCATCCTGACAGCTACAGCTTTAATGGCTCTGCCTCCCAGTCCTGGCACAGCATGAGACTACAAAATGGTTTTGCTCACAACATTTATTAACTGCCAGGTTTCAGCGTTGCACAGAAAGAGAAACACTCTGAAGACCCTGCACACCGAAGACCGTCAGACACTGAAAGCAAAAAAAGCAGCATGTAGATTGTTTTTTCTCTCAGCATCTATCAAGGGACTGTGTGAACTCAGTGTTTCTGCCCCCTCTCTTGTACGACGGATGAAAGTATAATGCTTTGGATAAGGCCACAAACAGCCTTGCCCATCATTGGCTTTTTCCTCTCAGTTAAAATCCTGCACGATCGCTTACGCCATGTTCCTTTGCACCCCCTGCTGTATAGACTGTGTAACTGCAGCCCCATTTTCACACTTTGACTGGGCACTTTGAGAGCAGAGCAGCACAGCAGCAGTAGTGAAACAGCATAGCCTGACAGACAGCATGAGGCTCCTGCAGCGCAGTCCATTTACACTCTCAATGGGAGCTCAGGGATTCCCTGCTCTCTGTTATAAAACATGAAAAACAAGTGTTATTTTGTGCACAGTTGTATTGGACACACATAAACAAGTAGTTGAATGCGAGGTATTGCAGATTTACACATTTATATACTTGGAAATAGAACCCAAAAAGATGTTTACTGTTGTTCAGCTACGCATATATTTTGTTGAATAAGTTGGATATGTTTTCCTACAGGTATCATTTCTGTGAAAAATGCTTCAATGAGATCCAGGGGGAGAGTGTGACGTTAGGAGATGATCCTGCACAGCCACAGACGTAAGTAAACTAAGCTGAGGTCACACAAGCTTTGAAACGTGTTGTGATAAGATCTCTCTGCTCTTTGTATTATTACTCAAACATATCAAATTCAGTCCATCTCACTCAACCCCTTTCAGATCAGAGTAAAGAATCAGCTTCAAACCTAGCAGCTCATGGGAACGGTCTTGCCCAAGACAATTTTATCTCAGGGTTCATATTAAATTAAGGATGCAATAAACTGACTTTACAATTATGATTCCAACATGTGTAATGAATGTTTCTTCAGTTGTTGAAACCATGTTATTGTTGACATATTGCTTGCATATGTAGCTTATTTATTGGATGTCATTTTCAGATTCATCAACCCAGCAACAGTCTTTCTTAGCATTACTTAACTTTGTCTTTCTTTTTCCTTTCACTTTGCTGACACTTCAGGATGATATCAAAAGATCAGTTTGAACGGAAGAAGAATGACGTACTCGACCCAGAACCGTGAGTACGCACAAACCCTTTAGTGAGAGGGACTCACACTGACAGAAAACATGTCCTTTCTTTGCCTCTTTTCATGAAGTAAATCTCATTTGTCATAAATAATCTGCTTGTTCCTACTCATGTGTTGGTGATCACATCTTTAACTGTTTAATCTGCCACCCACATCTGGCTTTGTTTTTGCACTTTGTGTGAGTGTGTGTGTGCACAAGCTGCATATTTTCTCTCTGGAGCTCTCTGATCAATCACTTTGGTTTCAGTGAAGCTCAATGGTAACTCAGCAGCACCATCTGCTGAGTGGAACTCTGTGTCAAAATTTTGTGTCCACTGAGAATATTGACTTGAGAACACAGACCTTTCCTACTTTATTAAGCAGCTATCTCCTTTTATGTTGTAATTGAGAGTTGTGTAGATAAATAGGATGCACAGCTCTTTCCCTAAACCTCCCACAAAGGCGCTCTTGTATTGGTTGGCTTGCAAGTGCGTAACGACTGGAGGAACATTAACGTGAATGGAGATTTTTGTGTTCCTTGCTGCTTCTGCAGTTAAGATATCAACACTCATACAAATGACAGCCGCTGGAAACTTGACTCGAGAACTGGAACAGTGGTTTTTGAATGCTGTGTGATGAATTGGAAATTTCTCAAGTTTTCTGTGAATGGAGAACTGGTTGTTGCCTTCAATTATTACAAATTATAAATTCTACATTTTGAACATCTAGAATTTATTCAGCGTCACCTAGAAAGCTTTTTTGATTTAAATGTGTAAATGCATAAAACATTGCATATATGTTTGCTTTTGTTCAGGTTCGTTGAATGTAAAGATTGTGGACGGAAAATGCACCAGATATGCGTCTTACACTACGAGGTCATCTGGCCATCTGGGTGAGATGTCAACCCTTATTTTTCGTAGATTTCCATATATTTATTTATTTAAATATTTGTGCTAATTGTATTGGTGTCTTTCCAGATTCATCTGTGACAACTGTTTGAAGAAGAGTGGAAAAACACGGAAGGAAAACAAGTTCTCTGCAAAAAGTTAGTACTCTTTGTCTTCTTGAATTACAGATCCTTGGAGCAACTATCCTTGTAGTGTTAAAAATGTCAACAAATTATTGCCATTTGAGTCCACGGAATAGTGTAGACAGTCTCCATCTGCACATGGGCTGCATATGTCTCTCTCTGTGGCTGTTCCTGCAGTGGCAGCTTTGTTGTTGTTGGCTTTGTGGTTTCACTGGTATTTTCTTGGTGTTGCAGCCTTGGAGACCATATCTGCCCTTTATGGCATATGATGCTAACAGATTTAAGGTCTCAAGGTCCCATAAAACAACAGTAGAGCTCTATCATTCTGTTAATTTTTATGTTGCTTAAATGCAAGGCTGCTGCACATTGTTTAAGACCTAGTTAAAGCCATGCTTGTCTTCTTTTTAGAAAAAAAACAAATGAACAGATTTGACAGTTTTGAAATATTTCTCCCATGTGTTTGTGCTTTGTAGGGCTGCAGTCAACACGATTGGGAATGTACATAGAGGACCGTGTGAATAAATACTTGAAGAGACAGAACCACCCAGAGGCCGGAGAGGTGTTTGTGCGAGTGGTGGCAAGCTCTGACAAAACAGTGGAGGTTAAACCAGGCATGAAAACCAGGTAAGAGCATCTGTGTTGAAAATGAGATTGGGATCTTCAGTGTTTTAAATCAAAGTCTACCAAAGCTATATATGCTTGATATGTTACTCATTATACATCTACTAAAATTGCATTGATCAAATGAAGAACCAAAGAGTCAGCAATCAAGATCAGGCAGACCAAATACCAGCCTTGACCTTCTTGATATGTAGATGCACTGCTATAGTTTGTATTTGTACTTGGCTTATTTTTTTTTATTATCCCTGCCATACAAAGCTGAATGTCCTCTATAAAGATTTTATACCCACTCAGAGTAATTGTGGAACCTGCGTGTTTCACAAGATGGAGGGTACACCCTCCCAGAGAAGCTCAGACACAATGTTGTTCACGGTTTCATCACACAAGATCAAAGTCTGCGATGCTTGTCCCATCCTTGCAGGGAGGAGTCCGTCATCTAAGAACCTGTTATCTTCAGGTTGACTGATTTAAGGCTGTTGGCTTTTTATTGACTCAAGGCCACTTAACTTGAATTGTCCCATTATGCTCTTGAGTGTTGCTAAAAGCTCTGACAAACACGGCAACTTCTGGGACAGCTCCCTGCTCTTGTATCTTAGAAGCTTTTAAAATCCCAATAAAATAAGGAAAAATAGTTTATAAACATGTTATACACTGCATTAAACAGCATTTGTGTCAAGAGTGTAAGTGTATCACAAAATGTTCTGACTTGTCTGTGATGTTATGCTGTTTACACGTTTTTATGCTTGATTTTTGTTCATTATGACAGGTTTGTGGACACGGGTGAAATGCCGGAGGCCTTTCCTTACAGAACCAAAGCACTTTTTGCATTTGAGGAAATTGACGGCGTGGACGTTTGCTTTTTTGGCATGCACGTGCAGGAATATGGCTCTGAGTGCCCATTCCCCAACACTAGGTCTGTACTTTAAATTATTAAGTACATGGCAATAAAGGGAATGCATTTTCGTGGACTTTTTGTCCGTGAAATTTACCATGTTTTTTTTCTGAATCCCTACAGACGGGTCTACATATCATACCTTGACAGTATTCACTTCTTCAGACCTCGGATTCTACGAACAGCAGTGTACCACGAGATCCTCATTGGCTATCTTGAATATGTCAAGAAACTCGGGTTAGCATCACCCGTCTGTTCTTCTGCTTTACTACATAAGATCTTACAAAAGTAGCAAGAGTCTTAGAAAGTATCTCTGTGAGAAGATCCAAATCTAGTCCATCAGATGTTTTAACCTCCACGTCGTCTCTCTGGCCTGTGTGTGTCCACAGGTACGCCCAGGGCCACATCTGGGCATGTCCTCCCAGCGAAGGAGACGACTACATCTTCCACTGCCATCCTCCCGACCAGAAGATCCCTAAGCCTAAAAGACTGCAGGAGTGGTACAGGAAGATGCTGGACAAGGCTTTCGCAGAGAGGATCCTGCATGACTACAAGGTAAAGAGGAGCGATGATTGTTAAATTTACAGGAGCAAGGAAAAGCAATCAGATTTTAAAGGAATAATTATCTTTGTATTGCTCTCCTTATTGCATTACTGGTAGAATATTGTTGGAAGAATTGTAAAAAACCAAACAAGTAATACAGAAAACATCAGATAACAACTACTGGCTTCAATCATCGATCTTTTCCTTCTTTCCATCAGGACATCTTCAAACAGGCGACTGAGGACCGACTGACCAGCGCCAACGAGCTGCCGTACTTTGAAGGCGACTTCTGGCCAAACGTGCTAGAGGAGAGCATCAAGGAACTGGAGCAAGAGGAGGAGGAGAGGAAGAAGGAGGAAAACACAGCTGCCTCTGAAACTCCAGAGGTGCGTTTATTGTATCATGGTTTGATGACTTACTGGAGTAGGTTTAAATCTGCACTTTTTGCTCTTGTTTTACGATCTTTGACATCCATTTTACACTTGATAGCTTCTGTAAATGTAATACTCAAGACTTAACAAAGTAGTGCTCTCATGTACTACCCCCTTAAACCCTGGGATATTGTTCTGAACATGTTTTACTAAAGAGTACGTTGTCTATTGAAGATGAAACGACGCTCACAGTAATAAGCACTAACTTGACAGATGGAAAAATTCTGTCAGTACTTACAACAAAGAGAATATATGATTAGCTAATCATATAAATAAGAGGTTTTATTTAATATGGCATTATATACATCCCACAGGGTACACCAGGTGACAGTAAAAACGCTAAGAAGAAGAACAACAAGAAGACGAATAAAAACAAGAGCAGCGTGAGCCGAGCCAATAAGAAGAAGCCTGGGATGCCGAATGTAGCTAATGATCTGTCCCAGAAGCTGTACGCCACCATGGAGAAGCACAAAGAGGTCAGATTTGTTTTGTTTATCGAAAAGTGTTAGATAATTCTGTAAAGTGTTGGTAATGAGCATGTGTTTTATGGATGTTTGAGTATGAAAGGTTTTAGGAATGTGGAATTATTTGAAGTTTTTGTTATAAAAATTTCAACTGTTTGGAAAAACAGACATGCAAATGACTAAGCAAACATTCCACAGTATTAGAGAAGTATTGTAGTTTTACTTCTGTAAGTTATAAAATGACATGCAATACTAGATATAGTCTTTAAATAGGTCTGGATACTTTCTTGTTTTGCTTGTCTAACTCAGTCTTTTCTCTTTTGTTTCCCCACTTAAGGTGTTCTTTGTGATCCACCTTCACTCCGGGCCCATGGTCAACACCCTGCCGCCCATCGTTGACCCCGACCCTTTGCTGTCTTGTGACCTGATGGATGGCCGTGATGCCTTCCTGACTCTGGCAAGGGACAAACACTGGGAGTTTAGCTCCCTCAGGAGGTGTAAGTGGAGCACTATGTGTATGCTGGTTGAGCTGCACAACCAGGGACAGGATCGCTTTGTCTACACTTGCAATGAGTGCAAGCACCATGTGGAGACGCGCTGGCACTGCACTGTGTGCGAGGTGAGTAGCTGCTGTCCTTGATTTTTACACTGGAATTTCTCTTGTTTACTGTCCGACAAAGTAAGAATTACACAGTGGAAAACTTAATTTTTAAGTGGAAGTCTTGTCAGTATTTAAATATACAAACTCTGACAGACATATAGATGAATGCAGGAAGACTTAGATGGACGAGATCAAAGAGGTCATTTGTTAAACTTGTGATAAATATATTTATCAGCCTTGGCTGGACTCTTGTTAATTACTGTGTCCCCTTCTCTCTCTTTTTTCTCAGGACTTTGATCTGTGCATTAATTGCTACAACACGAAGGGCCACGAGCACCAGATGGTGAAGTGGGGTCTTGGCCTGGATGATGACAACAACAGCCAGAGTGGAGAGGCCTCAAAGAGCCCGCAGGAGAGCCGGCGCTTAAGTATTCAACGATGCATTCAGTCCCTGGTCCATGCTTGTCAGTGTCGCAATGCCAACTGCTCTCTGCCGTCCTGCCAGAAGATGAAGCGAGTGGTGCAGCACACCAAAGGCTGCAAGCGCAAAACCAACGGTGGCTGCCCTGTATGCAAGCAGCTTATTGCTTTATGTTGCTACCACGCAAAACACTGTCAGGAGAACAAGTGTCCTGTCCCGTTCTGCCTGAACATCAAGCACAAGCTTCGCCAGCAGCAGCTGCAGCACAGGCTCCAGCAGGCCCAGTTGATGAGGAGAAGAATGGCCACCATGCAAGGCAGAACCATGCCGCTACCGTCCCCACCAGCCTCAGCTGCCCCCAGCACTCCCACTTCCCATGCCCAGCCTAACACTCCTCAGACACCCCAGCAGCCGCTTTCCAACCAGCCACCGACCCCCAATTCAGCAGGTGTTATGTCCCCCTCTTTTCCCAACCCACCTCGTGCTGGCCAGCCTCAAGCACCAGTGTCCCAAGGCAAGCCTGGGTCCCAGGCCTCCCCTCTACACCAGCAGCAGTCCCCTCTCCCCCAGCCGCCTCAGCCACCTCAGCAGCTACAACAGCAGCCCCCGCTTGCTGCGGTCAAGATGGCACGGCACATCGAAATGATGGCACAGGCCCAACAGAACCAGCAGAACTATCGGCTTAACGTGAATGGCTTGCCCATGAATCCCCAGCAGTCACCGCAGCGCATGACTGGACCAATGCAGCCACCAATGCAGATGGTGACAGGGCCACGGGGGCCACAAGTCATGCAACCTGGCATGGCCCCAGGACAATGGCCCGGAGCTGCGGGGCCCATGCAGGCGGCGCAGAATCAACAACCAGGCCTTGTCCCAGGCCAGGCCGCTCAGCAGACCATTAACATGCAGCGAGCCATGATGCCGCCGGGGCAGCAACCTCAGCCTAACCAGAGGATGCTGATACCACAACAGCCTGGTGCCCGGCCACAGACACCACAGAGACCTGGTGCTATACCCCCCAACGCCCTGCAGGACCTTCTCCGCACCCTCAAGTCTCCCAGCTCGCCTCAGCAGCAGCAGCAAGTCCTGAACATCCTCAAATCCAACCCTCAGCTAATGGCTGCTTTTATCAAACAGCGAACAGCCAAGTACCATGCCAACCAGCCGCAGCAACAGCAGCAGCAACAGCCGCAAGCAGGTCAGCAACAGCAGCCTGGCATGCCAACAATGCAAACCATGGCTATGCCAGGAGGAGCAGTGCAAAGACCAGGGATGCCCCCTCAACAGCCCCAGCAGGCTCCTGTGCAGGGCATGGCTCAGTTAGGGCCTCCAGGGCAGCTAATGAATGCTGCACACAACGCCAACCCCCAGATCCAGGAGCTCTACCGTCGGCAGCTCTTAAGACAGCAGCAGCAGCAGCAGCAGCAACAGCAGCAACAACAGGGAGTGATGCCTCAAGGCCATCCTGGCCAGTTCCCTGCTCAAACGCAGGGTACAGCAACTACGTACTCCCAGCTCCGCATGCAGCAGCAACAGCAGCAAATAGCCATGCAGGCAGGAGCAGGAGCAGCAGGGGGACCCATGGGTCAGCTCCCACCCATGGCACAGATGGCCCAGCCTGGCATGGGGATGGACTCCACCCAGAACCTACTGCATCAACGATTGCTCCAGCAGCAGCAGCAACAGCAGCAGCAACTTCCCCAGCAGCAGCAGGCCGTCCTCAAGCAACAGATGGGCTCCCCTGCCCAGCCAAGCCCCATGAGCCCCCAGACCCACCTGCTTGCTGGCCAGCCCCAGGGTGGAGCCCACCTCCCCGGCCAGCCTGCACTAGCCAATGCCCTCAGCAACCAGGTCCGCTCCCCCGCGCCAGTCCAGTCCCCCTGTCCGCCCTCTCAACAGCAGCAGCCACAGCCGCCACATTCCAGTCCCTCACCGCAGGTCCAGAACCAGCCTCAACCCTCGCCACAGCACCCGCCCCCACCCCACTCGGGTTCCCCCCACCCAGGGCTCGGGGGTCCACTGCAGTCCATGGAACAGGGACATTTGGGGACGCCAGAACAAAGCGCCATGCTACCGCAGCTTAACACGCCCAACAGAGGAGGGCTGAGTGGTGACTTAGGGATGGTGGGAGATGCTACAGGGGACACTCTGGAGAAGTTTGTGGAGGGATTGTAGCATTTCTGCTGGGAACTAAAAAAACACATTCTCACTCCCAGGGACCCTCCTCCCACCCCTCCTCGTCCTCGTTTCCCCCTCGGACTCTTTATCCCGTTAGAGGGCTTTGTTCTTTCTAAGGTTGACAACGGTTTTTTTGTACTGACATGTAAAAAGTTTCAACTGTTGCAAAAAGAAAAAAAGAAAATTTGGTCGAGGACAAAAAAAAAAAAACAAAAGAAAAAAAAGTCAACACTTCTAGGGAATGTAATTGTTTCCTAAACCCAAGTGATGGGTATTTCTTCCTTAAGATGTTGAGGGATTTGCAAGTTGCTTCTTAAATAAAAATTTAAATCACAAAGAATATATTTTTTGGTTGAGACCAAATGTGTTCAGTACTCTGTTTATTTTTTGGTTTGTTCTTGGTATGGTTTCATGCCTTTCTCATTTCTTTTTTTTTAAAGAAAATGTACAATTGCATTATATTATTCATATCTTTTTATTTTGTACCTTTGGAAAAAAAACTTAAAAGCATTTTTGTGTTGAAAACTGTAAAATATTTTGTCTGGGAATCGGGCCAGGTTTTCGTTCTCTTCTCAAGCTGTCTTTCCTGGCAATTGTAATCTAGTGTTGTACCATTACTGCAAGACGATGCGTTCAGGGACAGAGACCGCTCCCTTCCTATTTGTGTGTATGAAGAGCACTCAGTTGTATTAAAGTAAGAAATGGCTTGCAGCAGGTTGTGTATACACGGGGCATGTATGCAGGCGCACATGAAGACACTGACACAAACCCTCACAGTCACTAAGAGAAACACAGTTCCGAATGGTTTCACCAACACAGACGACAAGGACTGCAACCTTTACATCTCAGTGGCCTGGAGTTTTGGGAAATCTGTCTTGCGGGTGTAGAAAGTTGTTGCTTTGACATCAAAAAGAAATTTGTCATACTTTTTTGTCATACAAATGTTGTAAAGTGTAAAGAGAGTGTGAGAAAGAGACCAGCCCCCTAAGCTGAGGTGGAATGATCACCGGTTGTTTGTAGGCAACATCTCGGATGACGCCCAGTCCTCTAAATTTTACACTAAGTTGTGTGCGATCTAGGGATGAAGGGCACATTTGAGATTCACCTCGAGGAAAACTAAACGTCATCAACCCTCATTCCTCTCTCACAAAAACTTGAATTAGGGGGATTTACTTTTTCTCCTATTGTAAATCAAGTTATTAAGCAAAATACTATAAATATAAGGAAGAGAGAATGAAATCACTGTATAAACTGGTAAAAGACTCATTTCTTACTTATATACCATATTGTTAAATAAACTGTGTGCAACAGACGAACTCCAGTACTCTGTTGACTAAATAATGAGGCATCACTCCTCCTGTTGGTGTGTGTTCATTTGTTTTAGCCCAGTAGTGTTTTATCATTTGTCATTGGTATCAGTGGCTGCAAAATATATATGATAGTGGTCAATGGATTGTTCCTGCACAACTGAATTCAACAGGTTTCACGCTAGCCCTCAGTCACATTTATTTCTAATTATAAGGTTTCTATTATAATACAACTTACAACTGAATCATCATAGTTGTGATATTTTGTAGGACTTTCATCACTTTGCAGATAGAAACAGAAAAAGGTTACTCAAGTAGTACATTTTATTATTGATTAGTAGCAGGGATGCAGTAACTAACATGTCATTATTTTACAGAATTCAGTAAAACATAAGTGTCAGATCTGAAGATAAGTCACATCAAATGCACTAATGGAAAAATGTGTTTGTGTGTATCCTTGATATGAAAGATCACTTGCGCACAAAATCAAAACTATTCATGCCACATTTTCAAGTCAAATTGAAGTTAAATCTTGGGTGAGTTTCTGACACTACTGAGTCCTGACCTGTAATTCAAGGTATATGATCTCTACAGGTATTTTAAGTGGATTTTCGCTGAAATTATGTGGCAGGTGTTGGAACCACTTGACTACTGAAACACTCCTGAATGTGCTGATGTGAGATACTTGAGTTAATCTTAAGTCATCTCTTGATTTCAGGCTTATAAATACATTTTTGACATATGTTAGTTAAAGATGGGCAGGTCTGGGTGTGCCTGTATCCCATCCTAAAACAAGCTATTTTTATTAGTGTTGTTAAAGCCCTACAAAAATAGACAATATAAGAAAAATGTTGTGATTGAGTGAAGTTAGGAACTTTTTGGATTACTTGAAGCAACATTTATATTTTAAATATATGTAACAGTTTGTGAGTATTTACTCCATAATGGTAATAACAGCTAAACGGACTTAATATTGCATATATATATTAAATCAATCAAATAATTATATATCATTTGGTACTTTAACAGTACAGATGCAAGATATACATCTGGACAAATATGCAGCATTTGTGATAAATATGTAATCCAGTCAAGTCACTTTTATTTATATAGAACATTTAAAGTAAAAGCCCTGTGCTGAAGTGATTTTCAATAGAAAATAATATTGGTATGAACTGAGGACACGAGTTTTCATATTGAGTTTAGAACTCTTCAGTGTTAGCTGTGATGGAAATATACCTGAATATTTTAAATATTAAGCATTAAAACCCTGCAAAATTATTTTAAAGTAATAATTATTATGATAGCGACAGCTGAACTGACTATCATAAATATTAAGACTATGACCCTACAGTATTAATAATGATGGAGCTCGACCTGGTCAATTTAAAGCTTAAGCTGTGACCATAAAAAAAACAAAAAATAATTAAAATAGAACAATCTGTCTCTAATCTAAGGCTATAGAACCTATAAATTAAACAAAGTCTAAAAATCTTTAACCCAAGATGATAAAATATGTATTTTTTTATATGCTAAAGTATTTAAGGCCTGGTGTATATGAAGTAAAATACAAACGCTATTAAGTGATCTATATCGTGTCAACGTGCTGTAGTCACATGACCTGAAAGGCGCCCATTCATTCGTCCCTAAACGGTCACATGACCGGAAGTTGAAATGTAGCGGTTGAGTTTGTAGTTTTGAAATGAAAACAAGCCCTGCTAGGGTATTACCTCTTTTATTAGCCATATAATTACCTAATAACGCGACTTATAGTTTGAAATACACGAAAGTCCCTTGGCGAGAGACTGTTGAAGCAATGAGGTGGAAAACTAAAGCGCTAATTCATGAAACCTGGGGTAAGAAGAAAGTGTTAGCATGAGCAGCTAGCTGGCCACTGCTTTTTGTCTGGCTGATAGTTTTTACTACCAACGGACGTTTTCACATTATGTGTTAATAAATTGTCCCAATGTGAGCCTAATTTCCCAGATCTTAGTTTGCATTCAAGCTGTTGTCGTTAAATGATGCAGTACCCGCGCAAAACTTGCTAACATGCAAATTAAACAGTTGCAGAGGACATCTTGTCTAAAGTAGCTGTCTGTGCAGGCTGATCATAACAGCTGGGAACATGCTGGATAATCTGTTTAATGTGAGGAAAGGCACATCACCATGGACGACTCGGACCAGGATTTTGTAGATCTCTGCTCGAAGCTGCTCAAACGAGTCCGTAAGAAACCAGGCGAGCCCAGTCAGCCAAAGAAGGCACAACATCAGGCCTGCAGTCAAACAAGCGACAGGGACAAGAGGAGGAGGAATACTAAAAAAGATACCCAGTCTGCTACCCAACCTGTAAGTGCTTTAACAGAACAGCATGTGGACAGTGGAGGGACTGGACATGACTCAGGAGATGCTGGGTCATCGGTGGCGTCTCCTGCAGCAGCAGCAGCAGGGTCGAGAACTGACAGAGGCCAAAGAGCAAAAGACAAAGTACTTCTCAGAATGCAGCAGTTCAAGAGAGTCACTCCACAAAAGATGGTGCATTCAGACAAGATCCAGCCAACAAACCAGGACTGTGCTCCTTTTGCAGAGCAACAAGGTGAGTTGACATGATGATCAATGCTTTATACTGAATCCAAGGGCTGGGGAGAATATATGACTGTGATTTTATGGTAAATATTATTGGGAGGCTAGTGTTTACATCTGTTTGCTTCTTTCTATATTTTGTTGTTGACAAAGCAAATATGAAATGTGACTGAAATGCAGCCTATTAAGACGGCATGTTAACCAGCAGTCATTTCATAGCCTTCAGTGTTGGACCTTAACACATGCAATACCATGAAAAAGCGTAGCTGTCATACGAAGACGGTAACATATATTTGTAAAACCAGTCACACAACAGTTTAGATACTACGTCAAATGTGCTGTTAGACGTATATTCTAAATTGCAGCCTTTGTGATTTGCTATTTGCATTGTTTCAGATTGCAATTTCGGTTTTAATTTGATTAATTATTCAGCCCCACTGTATCCTTGAGCCAGTAAGCAGTAGGGAAAAATATGGCCTCCTTGCCTGCTTTGTCACTACTTTTACAAAAGTGGTCTTCATGATTAGGATCACAAATTATGTTGCAGCAATACTTCGACCAGTTATAGCCTGTTAAAATGTCACCACAGTATACACCGCCTCCCTTCTGTTTGCAGGTACTTCAGAGTCTGTCAGCTCTGGTTTCGACCCAGGACCCCCGGACAGTGACGAGGCTCTGGCCCTGCGGCTGCAGCAGGAGCTGGACAGGGAGGCAGCGGAGGCCCAGACGGTGGACTTGGAGGATGGAGGCCTCTTCTTCTGTCAGATCTGCCACAAAGACTTATCCCACATGACACCTGGAGGGCGCACACAGCATCTCAACAGGTCTGAACATTTGCATTCATTTTTGACTGATAGTGGAACTCCATGTACCTCTAAACAGGAAAATGACAATAATTAAACAATAAACTGGTGGACACACACTGAGGCCTCATGAATGATTTGCACAAATTCAGACAGACTGTAAAGCAAAATATCAGAACTTTCACAAGACAGGTAACTTTCTAATAAGTTTTATTATTGTTAGAATTAGACTGTATTAATGTATGTTTTGTGGTGTACTGAATGATTAGTAAGAGTATAAAGCAATGACTCCTCTAATTGTCAATTCAGTCCCTTATCAAGCTACAGTAACAAACATGTACTGGTTCTCGGATGTGAGGATGTAATTATGTATACTTGTAAACTGAATACCTTCCTGCATTTTGAACTACCGATGAGATGAACTGAATCGGTTAGGTCTTTATTAATAATGAGAAATATTTTACCGGAAAGGAAAGCATCAATGATGGAGAACATGTGAGAAATTGGTCTCAAATAATTAAAATTTGTAACGGAGAAGGTTGACTGCACCCAAAACTGACGAATAAAGGTGCGTTGAATTTCTCTAAACTACAACTCTTGAATATTTCTGATTAATCCCCTCTTTGCAGGTGTTTAGATGAGAGTGAAGAGAGCGCTCCAGGACCTGCTCCAGCTCCTCCTCCACCTCCCAGCGTCCCCGACTGTCCCATCTGTGGCAAGAAGTTCAAATCCCAGAAGAGTCGCTCGGCCCACCTGAAACGCTGCTCCTCAGATATGGGCGTCTCTCCGGCTGTGCTGCTGCAGGCTGTGCAGAGACAAGCTGAGGAGAACCAGAGCGCCACCACTGCTAACACACAGTGAGTCAACCTCAGAACTTCTCAGTCAAACCACAAGAAAGAACCATAATACTGTCACTTCTAAGCTTATAGTTGATTCCTAATATCTGATGCACCTTCTCATGCAATCTTGATTAACAGAAAGAATTTGCTTAACTTAGGTGATTGGCAAACTCTACCTACATAACTAACATCTGTTTTTTAGTACTTAAAATGAAATAAAACCTCACTCGAGCCCTTGTTTGTTTTTTTCAGACAGAATGTGGGCACGAAAAGGAAAGGTCCGTCCGAGCCGGGCCTCCCAGCGAGGAAGAAGCCCAGGAAGAAGACTGAGCCTATGGATGAAGAGACCATGGTGGCTCTGGCTCTGTCCTCCTCCCTGCTGGAGCGGGAGAAGGAGCAGCAGAGAGAGAGGGAGGCCGAGAGGCAGCTACAACAAGAGACTGCTGCCTCTCACAGCTCCATGAATCCGCTGCTGAAGCGGAGGACAGACGTAGGTACGATAATGTCTTAATAACATGTGTTTGTCGAGATAAAAAGCATGCATTTTAGTGACTTTAGAGACAGAAAAACCCAAGTATTATACTGTATCTAAACAGCATTTTTTTCTTTTACACAAAGTCGGAATCCCTAGTTTGGTTTTATTAAATATTTTGTCCTTTTGGGTTCAGTTTTATATCCATCCATCCATCCATTTTCTATACACCGCTTAATCCTTACTAGGGTCATGGGGGGGCTGGAGTCTATCCCAGCTGACTTAGGGTGAAGGCAGGGGACACCCTGGACAGGTCGCCAGTCTATCACAGGGCTACACTTAGAGACAGACAACCAAGCACACTCACATTCACACTTACGGACAATTTAGAATCACCAATTAACCTCAACATGTTTTTGGACTGTGTGGGAGGAAGCCGGAGAACGGAGAGAACATGCAAACTCCACACAGAAAGTTCCAGGTGTCCTCACCCTGACGCAAACTGGCGACCTTCTTGCTGCGAGGCAACAGTTCTACCAACTGCGCCACCTTGCAGCCCCAGTTTAAACTTCTCTGATTGTATTTTGGTTCATCCACATCAACTCTGATACCTTGTGTGTTTAGTTGTAACCCTACCTGCTTCATAGCTTCCCCTTGACTTTACTTTTTCTGTTTAATTAGATTATTTCACTTTGGTGGTCTGCACAATACACAGTATCGTATCAGCATTAATACTACAGTGTGCATAGGTGCAATAGTCACAGTTCACAAGAAACACGATGTGAACTCTGACACATCAGCTCAAGTACATCATGCTACAGCTTTTTTTGCTGCTTGATAAAAAACGAAAACTCGCCCAGTTCTCATTTTTCATGACTAATCTACAAGATAAGTCTGTCTGATAGAACATTATTTACTCAGATTAAGGGGTTCTAGCATACACCAAGTGTTTAATTACAAGGTATTGAGTTTTTTTGAAATGCAGGCTCCATATGTGCGCAGCAAAATAAGCAAGGAAGAGGAGAGAAACACTGACAAGGGAAATTTAGTTGCGAAAAAAACAGCAACAACGCAGCATTAGTGGTACAGAAATAGTGCAGTTACAGAAAGGATGATGACCAAAAATGGATACTGTGTTGGCAGTCTTGCAGTTGTTGCCACTACATGAGGCAAGAATTTGTTTGAACATTTAAATCAACACTACAGAGCTCTGTAAGACGAGCGCAAAGCCCAGTCTGAATGGCATCCAAAGCAAAAGCTATTTTGGATGCATTTACCAGTGATACACCATATGAGAAAGATTCCAGACGGCTCACTGTCAAAAAAAGCATGATTTCATTTTTGATGTTGATGCACTCACGTAAAAAAATCCCGTCCAAATAATTCATTTAGTAAACATTTCTGCAGCCTCATCTCCTTGTTCACACACAACAGAATAGAGATCAAACTACTGCTAAAGCCATCCGCAGTATTCATGGCAACATTCACACTACGAGTCATCTTCCACAGGATAGAGGAAGTTTTTTTTTCACACAGGCTTGTAATAAGCAAGTTTATTTAAACTGGGAAACTGTTGTCCTAGAGGCACTTGGCATGTTGTCTTTGTCAGTGAGGAACAAATATTTAAAATTACAGTTTGTGTATAATGTTTCTGCATGTTACCTTTGGTAGCGCCTGCAGCCGTGTACGCACCACGCTCTGTTTGACCTTTAACAACCGTATTGCACAAGTTGTTTAAATAACTGGTTTTAGATGACAGTGAGTTGCTTTCAACTCAAATATGCAGAGGTTAAAATAGATGCTTTAAATGCTCAAATGCGTTTGCAGATTTATGGGTTTTCACATGTATTCCACACCTGCCTTTCTGGTGCAGGTAAGGGCCGTGGAAAGAAGAGGAAGGGTGCCATCCCTCGGCCTCCTCCGCTCCTCCTGGTTCAGGATGCTGAGGCGGCCCTGACGAGGCTGCAGGAACGCGTTTCCTCTCTTCTTCTACGCAGCCGGGCCCCCTCGCCCCCCACCCCGACCCTCTGCCCCAGCACTCTGCCCGGCTGGAGTGGTGCTGCCCCCCTCTGGCAGAAAAGCACGCTGCAGGACGGAGGCTCCACCTGTGCGTCTGATTTCTATACTCCAGAGCTCAGGGAGTTCTTCACAACCCGGGAATCAGTAACGGTGAGAGAGACCAAAGACACCTTTGCACACTTTATTGTATTGTTTCTGTCATGTTTGAACTGAATTGTGAATTGAAATCAGACTAAACGTGAAGCTTTTGTTAATTTTTACAATCAAATGCCCTTTGAGACAGAGAGCAGTTCTGGTCTATTCTAAAAATAACACTGGGCAGGTTAACATACGAAGAGTCTGAAACTGTGAGAGACAGATGCTGTGTTTTGTTATTTGTCTGTAACAGCTGCCAGTTGATCAAAATGTTATTCTCCTCGTCTAAAGTCATAGTTATTGTCAATGTGGGCCTTGGCCTTAAAGCTGATTTTGCTAAGATACCAATTAAACACCATAATGATATAAAAATCACACAATAAAGGCATTATGATGCTTGATTTTGGACTGTACAGCCAGCTGCATTCATTTTGCACTGGTGTTTTTACTTTTAAAAAAGAAATTCTCGAACAAATTTCTGTCCATTAAATATGTTTCCTGTGTTTCTTTTTTCTGTTCAACTTACATCCTTGTACATTATCTTCAGCTTAATTTGCAGCTTTTTACAGTTGGTTGCACAACTCCTTCAGTCCAGAGTTCACTTTTTCAAAACTCCATCCACATTTGTCTCCACCTACATGCACTGCAGGCAGTTCTTAGTTCTTATGGGAAAGTCTCACTCTTCAGCTATCCTGGTAACGCCCCCACAGCAGTTATTTTGGCTAGCAAGACCAAATGACATGCAAACGAGTGAAGAAGCAGCCTTGATTGCGATTTCAATGGTCATTGGGACGAAAAAGCTGCATTTATAGAGTCGCCAGTCAATTCTGATTAGAACTGTCCAAAAAGTTTTCCTCAAAATAACATAACATTTTTAACCACGGGCCATACTTTTCAACGCATGCGGACCCTTTCACAATGCCATGCTTGCGTCAGTGCAACACAATTGGCTTGTTGTTTTGTAGTTCAGCTGTAACAAAGCAGACAATTGGCTTTTTGGGGAGGGTGGCAGGACATGTGTCAAACAACCTCCATCTTTGGCATTATGGAACACTCCCATCGACTTCTATTTCTGTTTCCCTAAGTGACGAGTCTCTTGTGACGTCTCTGGTGCAGCACAACAGTTCATCTCACATCCGAGTTGCGTTAATTCAAACAAAACTCCTTATACGTACCTCAGGATCAGTTCTTTCGCCAGGACACTGACAATAGTTGTCTCCCAACGCAAAAGCATAAAATATGAACTTGTATAATTACAAAGTGCATCACTAGTATCTTTGCAATTTTGATTTATATATTGTGCTACCTCACAGTGTATGTTAGCAATGCTGTATGTGATTGATTCTCTGAAGCTAAGGCCAGTGTCTATGTTAACTTTACAAGGGTAGCTATTTTCAGTGTGTTTGTTAGAAGGATTTTATTGTTTAAAATAAGCAGTAGAAAAACTTGAAGTAGAAAATGAGCTTGATGTTTAATATTGGACTTTAAAATCACAGTCATATCAGAGCTGAGTTAAACCAATGCTGTTCTCCTCCACTTTAAGACTAATGCAGCCTCATTCAGCACAACCAACAAGCCGACAGAGTCTTCTGTGGCTGAAGGAACTCCTCTCTCAGGAACCAGGGCCTCCATCCTGCCATCTCCATCCAGGACAGCCTCCTGCTCTCCAGCTCTCTCCACTCCAGTGGGCAGCCAGGCTCTCCGAGACCTGATGGAGCTGGCTGAAGACGGCATGACCCTCACACAGTGTGGATACACGGGCAAAGGTAAAACACACAAATGTTACTCTAAAACATTTCCCTGCCAGTGGGGGAAAAGTAGATGTTCACCCAAATAAATGGTTCATATTTCCTATTAAAAAGCTATAAAACTTGTTTACGTTGTATTGTTTCATGTGCTGAAATACAAGCACTACTTTAAAGTCAAATTTGTGAAAATAATTAAAAAAAAAAATATAAACCAGTTCCTGCTTTTAGATCAACAAGCAGAGAAAATTGGCATTTGTTCAGTTTGCTAGTAAATTTTAGTCACCTTCTTATAAAATGATTGCTCTTATCGCTGTGGTTATATATTGAATGCTCGCCCCCACATCCTCCCATGTCAGTCAGTGAGGTTTAAATAGTCTTGTGCTGATTCTTTTCTTTAAAAAATGATCCACTTGTTTGGAATACTAGCACGTAGGATTCATTTTTATTAGAATTTCTGCCCTGTGAAAATAGTAACATTATTAGTGTTTATCACAATGAAAGATTAGCAGAAGCATCTTCTGAGCTACACTTGTCACAAGGGAAACCTTGCTTATTATAAATTACATTTATCAGTGTTTTGTTATAAAGAGGAAGCACCTAAAATCAGAATGAAAATCGCTTTGAGCTCATCTGTTCTGGTTAGAACTTTGGTATAGTTTTCATCTAAGAAGAACGCAGTATTTAAACCCTTGAAATGATGTGTCACTGCTGCAGTATTAAATGGTAGAGGCTTACTTGGCCTCACATTTTGGTCCTGATCATCACTGTGTCCACAGACAACCTTCGTCTGAGCGGCTTCATCCGGGAGGAAACAGAGGAGCAGGCTGATCTCTGTGTCAGCGGCTTCCTTCCAGAAAAGGTCGACACAAACTTGGAGGAAACCCATAGCCGAGCGACGAGGACGACTGATCAGCCAAGAGCAGTCAAAGAAACAGGCAGCCGCCAATCAGTAAGACATCTCATTACAACATAGTTCTAATTCTTATTTCCCTTCTGGGTTTTTAATGCTCATATTTCCATCTATTGTGTCTGACCAGATCTTGTCAGTACCTTCTCTTTTGTCTTGCCTTCATTCATTCCTTTTTGTTCCATTACTGTCCGACAAAGTAAACTGATGCATCTTCTTCAACGTATTTGATTTCACCATTTAGATTCTGCGTATTAGTTTGAAACACAGAAATGAAAGTGATGTCTTTCTCATTTTAGTTGTATGACGTGATGTCTGTTGTGCTTTGGTCAGCTTTTTCTCCCTGATCTCTGAACGATCCACCTTAAAGAGAGCTTCCAAACTGAGATGATGCATACATTATGCCGTAGCGCATCTCGTCCAGAGTGTCCGCCGTCCTCAGTGTGCTGTGTTTCCCCTGTAGGCGGCGCTGTCCAGGCTGGCGTCGGACCTGAGCAGCATGGTGAACAACCCTCAGCTCAGTGATGTGCAGCTCCAGGTGGACAGTGGAGAGATTTACTTTGCTCATTCCTTCATGGTGTACGCTCGCTGCCCCCTGCTGGCTGAAATGGTAAAACAGTTATTGTTGCTGCTGATGTGTTGCAAAGCAAAGGCCTGCTACTGTTAGATCAGGGATCCATAGATATGTAGGTTGATATGTTTCCATGGTTTGCTTTAAGGATGACTTAAGTAGCATAATTAGAATAGTAGAGTAGTTAAAGATAAAGATCCCTTCAAGTAAAAAAGTATGCTTTTTACCTTCTTGACATATCACGAGCAAAACAAGCAGTCAATACCATATCAAAGCATGTCTATCTTGAAACTGCTGTGTGCTGATGATGGTCTCAAAAATATAGATTCAGATTTCAGGGGCTTCATATGTAACAAACCTAAAAAAAAACCCAAACAATTCTGACATTTGTGTGGTGGGACTTTCTGTATCATTATTCACCTGCAACCTATCATTGTGTAGTATGGAGTAGTTTTACAGTGATTGAGCAGAGTTTTAGGTGAGCTGGTGTGCTTGAGCTAGAGCGAATGGAGTGCGGATGTCATAAATTTGCACATTCTAGGGGAAGAAATCACAGAGTTGCTTTTAAGCCATTTGAAGGCAGAATGGGATTATTCTGATGGGGAAAAAAACTCTAAATATGTAACTTTGATACACAAAGGGGAGTTTTCAGGGGTTTAATCAATGACCAGAGGGTTTGGAATGAGATTAACTTACACACAAATCATCTGTTTCAATGACCTTACAGGGACAATGTGAATCAGTCATAATGCGTCTCAAGTCGCATACAGTTGCTTTAAATTCATTTTAAAATGCATGAGGAATGGAAAGTGTATTGTGTGGCATTTTATGTACTCCTGAGGTGTGTTAAAAGGAAAAATCTGCTATTCTGAAATACATTTGCTGATATTTGACTAGTTATCATATTTACATAGTTGCATGTGTCAGATTTACTGTACCTCCTACTATTCTTTATGTATGTACTCCCCCTATCCTGGGCTCGAGCTCGGCCATACACAGGACATGCTGGGAAAGATGGAAGTGTTGTGTGGATCGATCCGAGCCCCTTTGTTTTCCATTTACAGAGCCGGAGCTGTGCACAAACACCAGATTTTTTTTTTCTGGTACACACTCAGAAAAACAGTTATTGGAGTGTGAGGAGATGTTCACTGAATTTGACTAAAAAGTGTATTAGATTAGAATCATATACATATGATAATTCACTTCTACATTAAAACCTCGTTGCTTAGACATGCCATCAGCCCTTCTGCTCGATTTGCATCTTCATTTTCTCCTTCTTCGATCCTCTCACAGGTGCATGAAAGTGGTTTTGGAGTACAGGAGGAAGGCACGCCTGCAGCTCAGAGGGTGTTGATTAGCGACGTCCCCGGCCAGGCGGTGTTCACTCTGCTGCAGTACCTCTACACAGCCCACTGCTCCATCCCAGCATCACTGCAGCCTCATATGCTGGAGCTGGCATCCAGGTTAGTCTGAAGGCCTGATATTTTTGAGCATTTTTTTTTAGAAACTCTGAGATACTTTCAGGTCAGTTACAGTTTTACATTTCTATGTTCGCTCAAGTTGTTTATACAATCCACATTTGGTCTTATAAACAGAATTATAACATGGTCTTCCTGTGCTTTTTAACAATGACGTTAAGTTAAATCAAATCTATTTGACCCAAGACCTTTGAAGTTGCCATTCTATAGGTAAATAACAGAAAATCATTGTGTGTTGTTGGAATTTTCTGACATATATTGCAATTTGTGAAGAAAGATCGTGTTGTGACAACTCCTCTCTGTTTTGTGTTTAAGGTTTGACTTGCAGGAGCTGCAACAGCTTTGTCAGTGTCACCAAGAGGAGACGGCAGCTCTTGGAGACGAGGCAGATTATGTGAACCAGGAGGAGAATATCAACAACCAAACAGACCAGGCCTTCCTGGAGCTCCTCCGCTCCATGTGGAACGAAGGGGATAAAGATGACGACGGGGCGGATTCGGATGAAGGAACGGACGCAGAGAGGCGTTTGGAGGAGGAACGTCAAGCCGACGAGGTCACATCAGATGACAGAGAGATTTCTGAGGAACAAGTGAATGAGGAAGAGCTGGAGGAGATCTACGAGTTTGCCGCCACACAGAAGAAGAGGGAGGAGACAGACAGCCAGGAAGAGGAGGAGGAGAGGGAAGATCAGGAAGAAGATGGCGATGCAGTGTTCACAAAACTTAAAGAACCCGAAAGAGACGTTTGTGGAAAAAACTTGCAGGCCAACTCTGAGCGTCAGCAAGACCTCAGCCTGGATCGCAGCTACAACCGTCTCTTTTCAGTCTCATGGGGCGTCTACGAAGAAGGAGATCACTCCTCTGTAGCCTCCACCTCTGGTCCCACAAAGACACACCTACCTCGACCCAAACAACAAAAGTCTCCTCATAAACCATCATCCAAATTCTCTGTCAGAACTTTGCTCCAGTCCTCAGAAAGTTTAGTGGAAGATCTTTCCCTCAGTCCTCCACCCAGTACGTCCAACCTGCCCATCCCGGGTCTGTCCCCTGGTCCAGTGGCTGACCTGGGCGCTGATGGAGATAAGGGAGAAGATGCTGCTGAACACGATGTGCCTTTGCAGCGAGAAAGTCAAGGTCCTCATAGTATTTGCGTCCCTCCACCTCCTGATTCACCTCAGAAAAAAGAGGAACCAGAGCTCATAGTGTTGTCAGACACCAGCGAGGAGATGGAGGTGGATGTTGCTGTTGTTGGTTCTCGCAGTCCTTCGCCATGTTCTCCCTGCGTTCCAAGCTACACAGAGATCAAATCCAAGCAGATCTCTCCCCCTAATCAGCCTACTTTGGGGAGAAAAGAGTCAGGCAGTCTGGAGTTAAGTCCTGGTGATCCACTAGCATGTTCTCCAGAGGTTTCCTGGCTGATCCCGTCCACACCAGTCCAGACTCGAAGAAGCACCTCGAGCAGCTCCACTCAGACCAAAAGCAGCATGTGCAGGACACAGCTGTTCCCTAAAGGTGACGCCTCCCCACCTTCATCTTCTGTTTTCTCTTCTCCGGTTTTACCAAGCGAGAGCGCGCTTCACACCTCCAATAGTCCAAACAAAGTTTCTCCTAAAAAAAGCAGTCATTTTTCAGTTCCCCTGTCCGTACCTACTTCATCTTATTGCCTCAAACCTTCCTTAAAGCAGCACACCCCTCTCCACCTGCAGCCCCAGCCTCACAGCAGCACTCCCTTTCATACAGACCTCCTCCAGCCTCCTGTCCCTCTCGCTGCCTCCCCGTTCCACACTGACCCTGATGAGCAGAGGTCAGCATCTTCAAAAAGCCCAGAGAAAACAGAATTGGCAAGCTTTCATCTTTCGCCTTTGTCCGACCCCTCAGGGCGACCCTCTTCTTCCTCTCACAGCGGCCTTCAAAGTTCAAAGAGACGCAGCAGGTCCTCCAGCCAAAGTCAACATTCTGTCGAGTCCAGTGGTGGAGACAACACAGGGGTTGAGCTGACGAGGAGGGGAGTAAGAAATGAGGAAGGAGGAAGAGACAATAAAGACGTGGGTGGTGAAGAGCAGGAAGAAGCACAAGGAGAAACCGAAGAGGCAGATGGTGCAGAGTCGAGTTTCCAGCAGAGTTTCTTGGACATGGACGAGCCTCCCATAGCTTTCAATGACTCGTGGGGTCTGGACGCCTGTGTGGACGCCAATCCAGGCTGCTTCAGTCTGAGGCTGGAGGACAGCGACCGATCCAGCCCTGGGCAACGCAGCATCCAGTCATTGAGCAACCACAGCGTGACTAATGCTTCTCCACCTAAAGGTCAGCAACCATCCAGCAGCCTCCAGGTGCATCCAGGCCCCTCCTTCACCCCCCCACCGCCTCACCACAACACACGGACCTCACCGGAGATTGACAAAGGCCTCCTGGACTCCAAAATATGGGACAGCTGGGAGGACGAAGAGGAGGAAGAGGAGGTTCTTCCTCTCTCTCAGAGGGTGAACCCATCTGCCAAGCTCAAAACCCCAGGTAAGCAGTTTTACTTTAACTACCGTACTTGTGATTTGTTAATCTAGTTTTTCTGTAATTTACTTGCATAGATCTCAAATGTTGTAAAACTACACTTTGCAAAAAGTTTGAGGCCAACATCATGAAAACAGACACACACACACACACACACACACACACACACACACACGTATAGCTAGCTTAGCTTTTCTTCACCTAAGAATAGTAATGACTTCTGTATCTTAAAATCTCTATATCTTATGAAAGCATCAGAAAATAGTTTTACTCTTTAGACTCTGTTCAGATCATCTATAGAGCAACCTCTGATGGAAGTATAAAGTTGTCATCATACTTGTAGAGTTGTTGCATTCACAAGTTTGTACCTGTGGAGACAAGAGGTACACAGAGGCTAACATGTAGCAGTGTGTAGGCCAGGGGTGTCCAGTCCTGGTCCTCGAGGGCTACAGTCCTGCATGTTTTAGATGTTTCTCTCTTCCAACACGCCTGATTCAAATGATCAGCTTATCATCAAGCTCTGCAGAGGCCTGATACCGATCCTGATCATGTGAATCATGTGTGTTGGAAGAGGGAAACATCTAAAACATGCAGGACTGTGGCCCTCGAGGACCAGGATTGGACACCCCTGATCTAAAACATGCAGGACTGTGGCCCTCGAGGACCAGGATTGGACACCCCTGGTGTAGGCCGATAGCTTAGCACAAGGTCACAGTTGTTACTTTATTACCTCATTGCAGTGGTTTGAGCTGTAATGTTTTTTATTGCCATATATAAAAACTGAATTGTCTAATTAAAAAAAAATAAAATAAAATTTCCACATCATTTTTCAGCACATGCATTGGTGGCGAAACTATTATTTTCTTCATTTATCGATTAGTTGCTAAAACTAATCAAGGCGTAAAATGACCAGAAAAACATTGTTAGCATGCCTATTTGTATAGTAGTTATATAGTTATAACTAGTTATTCATCAGTTAACATTTCATGATCGTGACAGCCCTAAGCCTCATATGCAGAAACCAAGTCTAAAATCAGAGCACCAGAGCAGAAAATAATCAGCCAAATATTTAATTTATTTGATTCGAAAAATGTATAGCAGTCTGCACAACAATCACTGTTTTGTTCTTTTTTTATGCTTAAACTGTGGATAAAATTCTACTTTAAGTTTCTTGTATTGCTTAAAAACTGCTGCTCTTAATATATCCTTTATTTCTGCACCTAATTTCAGGGCTGAATTTTTCAACAAGTTGATGAAACAAAGGTAGCCGGTAGCATTTGTGATGACTGTTTCATTTCCGGGTGCATCTTAAGTCATAATCAATTTAACCTGGAGTTATGCCTTCAGTTAACTTCTTTGTAAAGTCAGTCAGTTTTATTACTATATAGACTAATGTTAGTTTGGACTTATTTAAAGAGCTGTCAGCATTTGTTGTCACTGCATGCGTCTGTTCAATTCCAGACCTATAGATCAAACGGTGTGTTTCTGCTTGTGTCTCTTTAGTGTCAATATGCAACAAAAGGCGACGCTCTTTGATGCCCATCACACCGATGCCGCACTACTCTGACATGGACACACCTGAGCTCAAAAACAAGCTCAACAGGTCAGTCGGTTCGCTCTCATCTCTGCTGCTTAAAGGTTAACCAAGGACCAAGAGTTTTTTCCTCATCAAGGCGATTAAGTGAGGAACCTATCTGATTCCCTCCCCCAGTGTCGCAGCTTAACCTGTCTGGCTCTGCTGTGTCTCAGACTGCTTTCCTGCCGCCCATCTGCTTGTTTGTCTCTCCATTACAAATACCTTCAACTTTCTCCACTACGCAGGTTCGGTGTTCGGCCTTTGCCAAAGCGCCAGATGATCCTCAAGCTGAAGGAGATCCACCAGTACACCCATCAGCTGGTCAGCTCCGACTCCGAGGATGAGGCTCCCCCTGCAGTGCAGACGGCTCAGACGAAGCCTCCTGCCAGCAGACCCGCCTCCTGCGTCCAGTTTAAAGAACCCAGAGCACTTAGTGCCACGTCCCCCGTGAAGCAGCACAGAGAGGAGGAGGCAGAGCCGCTGTCGGCCTCTCAGGGCTCCAACACCTCTTCAACCGCAGCCAGCGAAGAATCTGAAAGGTATTTGGGTGTGTAGATTGTCTCAGGTGTTACATAACTGCACACTTGAGGACATAATTTCAGAGAGCTCGAATCAATACTGTCTGGCTGCGTTGTGTTCCAGCTCGATCAGCAGCCACGATTCTAAAATAGTTCAGAGTTGTGTGGTCGACAGTTTCACATTTTACAGCGTACTGAATACACGTTTGCTCATGTTTGTGCCTCAAACATCTACTGTCATAGTAATAATAATAATAATAATACTTATAAAGTGCTTTTCAAGACACTCAAAGACACTTTGCAAAGTATGTAAGAACACAACAAGACAAGCAAAATAAAGAAAAATAATTCTGAGTTGTAGGCAGTTTTGAAAAGATGTCTTTATAGATTTCTTGAATATGGAGAGTGAGAAGGAAGTTAGTCTCACAGCCCACCTGCTTTTTTTGTACATTTTTTTGAAAACATCACAATAAAATAATTTCCTCTGCTTTACACCACTGTGGTAACGCTGTAGCGTATTTCTGAGCATCTTCACATCAGTTCTGACAACGAGAAACTAAAAATATGTCAATGAAAACAATTATTTCATGAATCTCAGTGCATTCATACACAGCGTAGGTGATCAGAGGAAAGTCACAGCCCGTTCCTCATTTCTCAGTTTATACATCCTCAGCTCTTTTCCTTGCATCGCGGTACTTTCCGACAGAGATGTGAGAAGAGAGGAATCAATACAACAGGGATTGAACTAAATTAGACGTCCTCGCCTCGGAGCTGTGGCACAACTGCATCTCCCGTCCATCGTTTTGTTACAGCTTTTGTTTAATGATTTCTGTCGGATGAGCAGAGCAATCTTCATGATAACTCACACTACACTTTGAATTTCCTTGTAATTCAATGGACAACATAATGTGTTGGGAATGTACAGATGCCACATATTTTTATTTTTGTTTAGCACCTAAATGTGCAGTGAAGTGGAAAAAAAAGAATGCTGCACAAAAGAGTACTACACAAATACAAAGTGACTTATATTAGAATTAAGTGATTCTCTGTCCTCGAGGTAGATTTCAGGAAACAAGACGTCCTTCATGGCGCTGTGCCAAGGTTAATTTCCGGGTCACGGGCCGGAGGACAGAGGACAGAGAGGAGGAAGCTGAAATTGGTGAAATGAGATCAGCCTCTTTGTCACTGTCTGACAAATTTAAAAAAAGAATACTAGTTTTGCTGCCTTTTTTTTTTTTTAAAGACAGTCATTAACCCATTAAAAGGATTTAGAAGTACTTAAAAGAAGAAATAGAGACATTTAAATACATTCACATAGAAATTTCTCACTTTAAAGATGCAAAATCCTGTTAAGATTAGACGGCACGTAAAGACAATGAAGCGGGGAAACTGGATGGATGTGAGTTGTGCAGACGAACCAATCCCAGATGCCCAGTAAAAGGTCTACATTGTTGGCAGCTTTCCATGCTGTTGGCTCGAAATGCCGCCATAAAGCAAATTTTTGTGCATCATTACAAATTCTACAACAACCCAAAACTGCACCGGGTCTGCTCAGAGGCACCACTGTGTGACATCAGAGATTCAAAGTATGTAGAAATATATAATAGAAACTGTCAGCAGATGTCACTTTTTCAGCAAAAACCCCCAACAGGATTTCCTGCTTTTCTCTCTATTATGTCATTGTGAAGTGAATATCTTTGGGTTTTGGTCTGTCAGTCCAGCTAAACAGGATGTATGGATAAGTTTCATTGGGTACTGGGACGTTTTTCATTTTATAGCTACAAGGTTGATTAGTGAAAAAATAATTGCAGCTCAGTGTTTATCGTTGACTTTTTTTTTTTTTTCAAAGGCTAAACAGTAGGATTTACAACTCCTCTCAGCCTCCTTTTTATAATAACGTGACTGTATATTGTCACATAAATGTCCCCCTGCTCTAGCTTTCTAATACCTTTGTGTACATGAAGTATTTAAACACTTTCTTTTTCATCAGGTCCAACCCGGAGTTGTGCATCTCCTCCGGCGGCGACTCTGACAGTGACGGCGGCATCTCGTCCTCCCAGGCGGCGTCCCGCCTCCAGGATCGCCTCCTGGCCGTGCGCTCCTTCATCCTGTCTGACTCTCAGCTCTACAGTCAGATCCTCCAGTACCAGCCTCTGGTCCTGTCCCAGCTGCAGCAGCAACTCAAGGCGGCCGGGATCCGCCTCGGTGCCGCCAAGCTGGTGGACTACCTGGACTCTCAGTGCATCACCTTCACCACGGCCAAGCCGGGCCACTCGGCACCGAGCCGCAGGCGGGTCAAGAGGACAAAAGCAGGTGAACGAGGGCCAAGCAGGAAAAAAGCTGTTGCGGCCATGATTTGAATCTTTGACTGTCAAGGTTTTACCCGGAAACGGTTTAAGGTGGCAGGTTTTACTTCAGAGCTTGGACTGTTTGTTTGCAAATATCATTGAAATTGGAAATTTTACATTATGTGGTGCGAAAGTTAAAGCAGGTTCAAATTTATTTAAATATGCCTCATGTATCTTTAAGACAGGTTGTATTTTAAGTTTTATAAGATATTGCATATGAAGCTCACTGTGAAAATAAAACAAGATAAATGTTACTGTGGTCACGAATAGCCGACTTAAACATGATTCCAGAGAAAGCTTTAATAGGTTTCATACAACCTTTGTCATCTCATGTCATATCTAATAATGCAAAAGGTAATCTTCAGCTTGATGTACTACACAACCAGCCAGGTGAGTGGTGCAATACGACCAAATATGGCCGAATTAATTACAAAGAAATCCCATCACACAGGAAGTTTTTTTGGAAAAACATTTTACTTTTTTCCCTCTTCAGTAGCTTTATATCCAAAGATCAGCAAAGACGTACATAGAGAGCTGAGCACACTTGAGAAAGGAGGCAGATTCTTGAACAAGAAAGATCTCACAGCTTCTGTCTGATACGTCATTCAAGTAGAGAGACGGGTCCTCCAAAGCCGCTCGACACAAAGCCAATGCTGTCCAGAGTTCACAGTCAGGTCGCTGTTGTTGCATTGGGGGACGGTGGCGGTTTCGTGTTGTGCACCCAGATTTTCTCTACAGCAGCGTGAAGCACAGGGCGTCAAATCAGATTCCAAATTACGCACGACACTGCAGATCCTGGAGACGGACTCGCCTTTTTTCCACCCTGATTCGCCGATGGAGCATCAACGCGGCGCTTCGTGTCCCGGCTCGAAGCCTCAACCAGTCATGACAGGTTGGCAATGTTGGCGAGGAAGCGCTGAGCCCACCACTCCTCCAGGTCTATGGGCACAAAGTCTGCACAGAGAGAACCACAACACAGGCGACAAAGGATTACAACTTAATCCGCCTTCTAAGATTAATTCAGTTTTGACAATCGCCTATTAAACTGTCACATGAATGAGTAAGTTAGTCATTTAAAAAGCAATGTGGTGATTTGTGCACATAAAAATAGTTACAACTGTTTTAACTCTGAATCCCAAAACCCACCGGTGGGTTTGAAAGACATGTTGTCCTTAAAAAATCTGCCAAAATACCAGCATTTATCAAAAACTGTAAAACAGAATCATCAGATTTTCAACTTTAATCCTGTGACGTGCCTTTCTATCGGAATGTCATCAAAATAACCTGATTGTATTTGCCCCATTTAAGACTTTGCCAAAAATCAACAATGTGCTTTAACCACAATCTGTACAAAACTAAAAATTCTTCGCTCCTTGGTGCAACCAAGAGGCCTTTGGTAACTCAGCTGGGACCAACAGTCACATAACAAAAACTCAGACCTTCTGACTGAACTGCAGGCTGTGTTTACACAGTGTAGAGAGGAGACAAGCATAGAACCAAATTCAAAATGGTAAAATATTAGGAGTACATAGGGTCACTTTTTTCCCCAGGACTGGTAACACCTGTAGGAAAAAATGTTGTGCACTCCAAGATTTTTTTTTCTATTTTTCTTAAAGAAATATTCAAAGAAATTCAACTTTCATTTTTTTTTTAAAAGTGATCTATAACATAACTGTAACTCTGCATTGACCGCATTTTGGAGTTTTCTCAGCCTCTAGCTATGGATTGACTGCGTCTCCAGAAGTACAGGACTTTATACTGCAGTAAAAAAAAAAAAAGAAAATCTGCTTGAAGAGAGTGAAAATGCGACAAGGTAGACGTTTTCTCTTTGTCAAACCTGTAATCTGTTGAATAAAGTTAGAAAAAAATAGATATGGCATAGAAATGAGAACGTTTTGTGAAATGTGCAGCCAATGACAGGCTCAGTCTACATCCGGTGAGTCCGACTAGGAATGGCGTGTCCCCCCACAGCCCACCACCTTGGTTTAGTCTGAAGCAACTATTAGATGGATTGCTATGACACGTTTAATCTGTCCAATACCTGGTTTGCGACAAAATTCCAGCAAAACTAAAGAAATTCTTACCAACCTTAATGTACTTTGTGTTGAGAGCTATTATATAAAGCCAACATGATGAACATTTTACCCATTTAGTGCCACCATGTTGACGTTTGTATATCCTTAATCTACAACAATCTCCAGACCAGCAGCCTTCCTTAGTGAACATTTCTAGCTTTGCAGAGGATTTGGATGAATTGTCTATTTTAATGACGGTGCTCGTCTCTCTGCAAACCGCCGAAACCTTTCTCCTGCTACTACTTTGCAGGAACACTGTCGCTGCCAACAATACCAAGAAGCCATTCATTATAGCAGAATGAGGTGCAGCCAGTCATTCTCTTCTGCAGGATGATCTGACGATGTGAGACGATGCCAAAAATATTTAAAACAACCAACCAAATGCCTGATGATCCAGAAAACTCGCTTCTGAAAATCCAAGGGTCACTTGAGTTTAAAAACACACTACATTGTTTAATTACTCACATTTTAACTCCAGTTTCTAAGAGCCAACAGCTTCAGTTGTTGTAGTAAAATAAAAAAATAACCCGTCAGATTACCCAGCCTGAGAGACATGGAGGAAACCGGAGCAGACAGGCGAGAGTGTAAACCGAGACAAAAACACAATCAGCACCCGCGGCTGGTTTATCTGGAATAGTCGGGTTCTCATTAACCGAAGGTTGATTAAAAATAAAAGCAGACAGTTACAACAGTTGCCCTCTGGCTGCAGATAAAGTCGCCACAAAAGACGCTTGGCATACGATTCCTTCGGAGAGATGAGAGGAGCTGCTCAGTCCCCCTGACAGGTTTAAAGAAGCAGTGTGATAAACACACGGGGAGGCTCAAAGATCAGCAGGTTACTGAGCAGGAAGCGGGTTTGTCTGTTCGGACGCCATAAAACCATAGAGTGAGATTAGATTCAGTGACGGCAGATTTACTTTGCTGTCTCATCGGAAGTGTTACAGCAGCGTGACTGGAGGTTCTTACTCTTCATCGCAGCACTGGGGGTCTTCTCAGTGTACTGAACAGGCCCTTGGCTGTTGGCTGATTCACCGCCGTCTCTGTCCTCCAGCTTCTGCTCCACCTCCTGCCATACTGCAAAAACAAACATGTGTACTCAGTCAATGGGGAAACCAGTTAATTGCATTTTTGAACTCCTCACTGACGCTCAAACCTGCACCGTCCCACTTCTAAAGCTGACTTGCAAACACTAACGTAGACTGGCCACCCTGTGAGAGGGCTGGACTGGTCTGTGGTGTGTTTTTATCAGCCGTGGGGTGAAGGTTTTCACCGTAACCTCGAGATAAACCTCAAGGTTTTGTCTCTCTCAAAGGGTCTTTAAAACAAACTTTCCACCACACATTATTTACTTTCCGATTGTGCATCCTTTGTAACTTAAATGTCAAATATAAAGAACAAATACCCTTAAACTAGCTGCATGTGTGCAGGGGGGTGGCTGAAATAGTCGCTAAACATGTCTGGTTGTAATTACAGTTTTCCTGTGTGACAGTGAACATGTCTGACAGGTTTTTGGTCCTAAAAACAACTTGACAGAGTCTGACGGAGGTTTGTCTTTAGGCGAGCAGTGAATGAATGTGAAGCTTCTACCCTGAGCTGAACTTTGTGGACACAAAAGAGCAGCACAAAGCAGTCTTTACTGGCAGCGGTCCAAGAGCAACACAGATAGTCGTTTATTGGCCAGTGCACCCTGGGTAAATCTGAAGACGGGGTGAATGGTGCAGACTCACGATTTTTAATCATTGTTAGGTTTTAACTGGCTGGAGGCAACGCTCGCTTCTGAAATCCTGCAGATAGCTTGTTGACGCCAGGGTTCTGACACAGTTAGGAACAAGTATGGAAGCTGATTTTACTAACTGTCAGTGATGAAAGAAAAGTTAGTGGAAAGATATTTGTGTTTCCAGACTTTTACCACTTATTCTGTTTTCTAAAAAAGTCATCGTGTTGAGTTTTTTTTTTTTTTTTTT